TAATGCTTGTGAAGTAATGGGGCTGAATCAGCAGATAGCTCCACTGGGAGCCATTAGTCCAGACATGTGTCATTAACCCTTTCCCTGGCCCAAGCTCCACCCCCACCCACCCCCTCTCCCCTCAGCCCGGGCCATGAAGACCAGAGCACTGTTTCAGGTAGTGCAGATAGAGAGAGGGGGGAAGGGGCAAACCAATAGCACAGATACACACTTTCATTTTCTCCTTTGTTTCTGATATTTTCCTGCTCCCTTCTCAGTCTGTGTCCTTGTCTCTGTGTCAGTGCTTTGTTTTTTAGATAGCTAAAGCAAGTCAGGCAAGTCTTGTATATAGCCTTCTCCAAAGCAAGTTAAAATAAGGCTGTTTGATAGAGTTATGTTACACTAAAAATCTATATTTTAAGTATTAAATACTCACATCCTCCAGGGGTAGGCAAGGTAGGCAACATGCAGCTCTTTAGCCCCTCTCCACTGGCTAAGAGAACTACATTGGCTCTTTAGTATAATACAGGTTGTTGACCCCTCCTGTAGACTTTAAAGGTGGTTGTAAAAGGACAGGCATATCAGCTGTGGCCTGCAATTGATTTACACTGTAGACAATGTCCATAGAAACTTCTCAAATCATCCCTGTATCAAAGTCAACATCTTTGCTATCTAGCCACATGTGCAGTATGTTCAAAACATTCATATTTTGGCCAAAGTCTGTCTTAATACATGGTTTCCATTTGTAGCTCGCCAATTAAGTTGCTTGTGACAGCTGGAAACAGCAAGGTACAAAACTTTCTCAGAAGTTGTCACTAAACAATAAAATTCAAGCTCAATATAGCCGCTATTCTTTGAAAAGGACACTTTGACAAGCCACCTTTCAAGGCTACAGGGAATGAGTATTTTATACTAAACAGATGGGTGGAATAATACTTTAATTGTGGGGATATTTTAGAAAGCCAAGAAACAACTTAAAAAAGTAACAGGGCAGAGTTAGTTGTACCTATATAGAGAATAAGAGGCAGAGGGTACTTTAAGTAACATGTTTGAGTTATAATTTTTGGGGGTTCTCAGAGTAAGTCCTTGATTTTTTTTTTTTTTTTTTTTTTTTTTTACGTAACCTTTTCGCAGGCCTCCCCATGTTGGCTGCGGCTGCAGGGCAACAATAGAGAGAAGGGGCAGGCCGACAACACCTGCCAGTCTTAATGGTAAACATGTGTCGAGAAATGCAGAGAGAGTGAGGAGGAGAAAGGGAGGAGGGAGAGGACAAGCACACTCCTTAAAGAGGCTCTAAAGAGGCTGTGCGTTCGTAGATAGGGGTGTGTGTGTGTGTGTGTGTGTGTGTGTGTGTGTGTGTGTGTGTGTGTGTGTGTGTGTGTGTGTGTGTGTGTGTGTGTGTGTGTGTGTGTGTGTGTGTGTGTGTGTGTGTGTGTGTGTGTGTGTGTGTGTGTGTGTGTGTGTGTAAATGTGCCGTTGTCTGCAGAACTGTCAGCATGTCTGTGTGGGCCTATGTCAGGTTGCATGCTGCAAGGCAGTGTCTGTGGATCATCACTTAGGTCTGCCCCTTAAGCAAAAAGAGATCCAGATAGTATAACTGCAAGCCAAATATGGTGAAGGATGGTAGATTGTAGAGCAGCGTCATCAAATTAGTCTGTGTGGTGCTATAGTGTCCCTCAGGGTCATTTGTACCAGTTCAGCACTACGGTGGTTTGTCGTGCACATGCAACTAACGTCTGTGCGTCTCAGTCACATTAACACACACATGTCAACACGCACAGGATGCATGTGTGGGTGTTTTCCTTGGTGCTCAAAGTCATCATCACAAGTGTTAGACTACCAGTCGTGGTCTCCTACCGTGTCTTTGACACGAGTAAATGTGTGGGCGTGTGTGTGTTTCTGTCTGTATTGTGTAGTATGTACCTAGACTTACATGCACATCCATGCATTGCTGCTATATGTACATATAGTCTGCGTGTATAAGCTCATTGTACCTTTTGAGGGGCCTCCCCCTCTATCCCCCAGAGCTCAGCTGAGAACTACACGTCATGTCTGCCACCTTCTCTCTGGCCACAATGCTGCCCATTATGGACAGCCAGGGTTCGGTGACCAGAGAGTGGACTCCTGCTGCAGTAGATGAAGGCCCAGACCCACCTTTCACATCCCACTTGCCCCACCTAAATCTTTATTTTGGCCTTTTATGCACTTTTTCCTGCATGTCTGTGTGCTCCTTCTTCTTGTTGTATATTATCTCTCTGCACTAATCTTGAATCTTCTTCTAGCCTTGTCCAGTATAGTTCTCAGTATTCAGTAGAGTTCCACCCCTTTTGGCTGAAATAAAACCAGTTGCTAATCCTCGTAATAGTCCATCCATACCTCTACTACGTCTTTCTTAGTAGGCTCAGACCCTTTCTTAAATCTGACTTTGTCATGTGAAAAAGAAATAGCATTTTTCAGAATGATGACATTCGTCTGCTTAGACACTATCAGTATCAGAAATGTGCTAATTTTAGATACATTCTAATACAGATCTTATTAGCCTTAGTGTGTGCATGCCCTAAGACAGTTGGTCTGAAAAGTCATCTTTTAATTGAATATCTTCCTAATGCAGTTTTTTACCAGTTCCTTGTTAGGCAGCCAGCTGTCAAGCAAGTCAGGAAAGTCTGAGAGAGGGAATAAATGAAAAAAAGGTAGATCAAGGAAGGAGAGATGCAGAGATTTTGTGTCTGAAGGCTGGAGAAGGTTTTTGTGTCCCGGGTTTCTCCTCTGCTGGCCCAGTCTGTCCAATCTCAGGAGAGCTATAGGAATCCCCCTGTGTCTCATAGTCAGACACTGGCTGACAACTCTGACAAGCCTGAGGATTTTCACCTCTTTTACACACATGCACACACACCTTCAAAACACTCACAAGTGTCCAATGTCACAATGTTATTTCTTTTGTTATTTTCCTTATTTTCTTCCATTCTCACAATTACTGTTTACACTTTCTTCTTCTAATCTATACTGTCTCTCACACACGTACACAGACAACATAAACACAGACATTTATGCGCATGAGTACTGCACACACACACACACACACACAAGACAACCCTTCCTTCCAACGCACACACACATTCTCACTTGCTGGCTGTCTCTAGAAGGAGTCAAATGGCTCAATGTGTTAAAAACATTAGGTAAGCATGGATCCAGCAGTGCTCCTCGAGCCGATATCATATGTCCTGCTTCATTACAGTCTGGTGTATACATTCAGCTGCATCTCTGACCCTCCATCTATCCATCCCTCTCCCCTCTGTCCCTCCCCTCTCCTTTTCCCCCGGGGTGCTTTAACACAGAGCGGGCCATCTCAAGATGTTAGCTGAAGAATAGATGAGTTCTCTCATTATTGTAAACGCTGGGCCAGGCTGCTTGGCTGTGGAGCTCATGCAGAGCACAGGGATTGACTCAGGTTTGGAAAAAAGAGAAAAACATCTCTATATAAAGAATATATGTATGTAAAGAAAGGCTGATTCATCTTAGAGGATTCATAAGTAAGGAAGATTGGAGCTGCATAAATCAAAGGGAGAGGGGAGGGGTAAGAAATGAAATAGCAAATTAATTTTAACAAACTATCTCTTGTCCACATGGCTGTACAGGCCTTTTTTCCCCCCCGCAACTATTTTGGGTCCTGATATGACATTAACTGCTGGGAGGGTGCTGACCAAAACCAGCTGAGCGGTGTGTGTTATGAGGTAGACAGACAGACAGATCAGGAGAAGGAGAGAGATCCAAGCAGCGGGCCTGTAACCTGTATCCTGCCGACTGTTACCTCACGCCACACCTCACATCCCGCAGCTGCATGTGTATGAGGTAGCGGACACACACTGAGGCCTTTTCTCCAGACTTCACCGCAGCACACAGCCTGCTGCACCACACTTGTCTCTCCATTGCAGGGAATCAGGCAGCACTAGGCTAACATTAGCAGTTTTCTTCCTTCATAAGCAGTTTACAGTGTGAATGCACACATATGTGTGGAAGATCACAGCTGAGGAACCCCTATCCCAACTCAGATCAACCAGGTACCTGCACCCAAGGCAAAAGGGAGGTCAGGAAGTGCCGGTCGGACGATGCGCAACGCTGATTGTGGTGGTTGAAGGGGGTATAGAGAAAGACAGTGGTTTCAACAGAAAGATTCAAGGTGTGTGCAACATACAAAAATTATATTTGGAGGAGACTTATTTAGTTTACCATACTCTTACTCATCTAGCTACTGCCTGGCCATATGATCATCCTGGAGAACAACAAATCTGAAAACTTGCTGGTTGATTCGGTCTCGATTGATTCGTGGGAGAAGAAAAAGTACTGGAAACAGAAATGAGAAAAGTGAAGGCATTACATAGAGAAAAGGGTTACCACAGGGAAAGATGAGAGAGGTCTTAGATACTGTAATGGGCTGGATATCTCTCACTTTCGCCATCACTGACGGTCATCAACAGTGCACAGTCTGACACAGCACAGTGGACAAGGATCACTATTACTTTGTGTCTGTTAGTCCCCCCTCTGTTAGCTCTACCTCTTTCAATCATTTTCTTATAAAAAAGAAGGGAGAGGTCTTGTTAATCAGCTTTTGGCTTCAGTTTGGGGGCTCGTATATAAACCCTCCCTTTTCCTCCCTGTACCCCTGCCCCCCGTGTATGTAATAGATGAGGATAGCAGAGTGTATGTTTACGAGCGCGAGTGCTGGACTTGGCAGGGCCGAGCGAGCGCTACTTCAGTGTCTCACAGTTCATCACAGCTCAATGACTGACTGACTGGGCCCCTGTCTTTCTAGCGGAGTTTACATTGTGCACACACACACTCATTTACACGCACTCACTCATACACAACTCTTGACTCTCACCGCTTCTCTTCTCTAAACTTCTCATATTTTCTAGTTCCCTAAGCTGCCCCCAGGTAATTGTTTAAGATTGTAGATAAATATCTGTAGCCATTAACCATATTGTTATCTCTCTCTCCCCCCCTCCCTTGCCCCCTCCCCACAGTGGTCCTATGCGTTGGAGAAGCCCAACACAGGCAGCGTGTTCAGCTTGGCCTGGTCTGCAGACGGCACCCAGCTGGCTGGGGCCTGCGGCAATGGGCATGTCGTCTTTGCCCATGTGGTGGAGCAGCATTGGGAGTGGAAGAACTTTGTGATCACCCTTACCAAGAGGAGAACCATGCAGGTAGAAAGAGAGCCACACACACATCCACATTTATGTTTCTGCCCCTTTTCAACCTTACAGAAAGTCAATTTAGTCTTGTCTAGAGACTCATGTTCTTGTTAAGTTTATTTCGATAAACAAACGGAGTGATAAAAGACTGATATCATACAAAGCAATGTCAGAAACAGATAGAAGGGGAATACATTTAAACGTACTGCAATGCCATATTCAAACCCTGAAGGGGTGAGTGAATATGCTATGTAGAGAGGGAAATGCTTCCCAGGCCTTGACTAGTTGTGGCCATATATTAAAGTAGGACCCTTCCAGTGTGCCAGTGTGCAGCCCTGCAATGACAATGACCAGCCTGTCTAGCTGCCTCTCTCTCTCCACCATTCTCTACTGTTTAAACTCACACTAGCCACAAGGTAGCGTTTACACGTGGTTAATACACCCATATGTACATATACATACACACTTGTATACTTTCAGACACACGCACACCTACAGAAACAAGGTCACGCACATGCATGCGTGCCAACACACGTGTGCACTCATTCGCCATAGACATCTTTACTGAGTGCAGTTTGTGTAAACCAAACAAAGTCGGGTCATCAGCCATTTATTTTCAGCCTCGCAGGCGCTTTTCTGTCTCCCTCCTCCCCCTCTCCTCCTCGCAGTCCTTTTTAAAAGTGCACATCTGCCAGTGGTTTGTGAATCAGCCAGCTAAATTTACCACCTTGCGGTCAAATGTTTTTTATTCCTGGTTGTGTTGCATGTAAATTTGGCTTGCTGGAGGGAGCAGAGGAGGAAGATTTATAAAGCTGTAAAAATAACCCCACCTTTCACCTGGTGCTGGAAAAGGCTCTTTCATTCATTCACAGAGAGTGCTGGAGGGAAGTATTTATCTATGCAGGTGAAAAAATGAGTAGCAACCACCGCACGCACACACTTAAACAGTAAAAACGTCTTTCTTTGACCACAGTTGCCCTACGTATACTTGGACATACTGTAGACTATTCTCTGTGTATATTAAGAATAAATGCACTCCAATGTGTATGTGACTGTGTTCACCCCACTGTTAATGACGCCACTGTCTCCCCTTTGTTGTTTGGACATTTAAATGTAAAGTGTTTGCTCATTAGAATAAAGTTTATTCCTGTTCAGTAACTTTTTTTCTTTTTTTCACTTACACCTTAATTCCCCTTTGTTTCTCAGGTGAGGAATGTGATGAACGATGCAGTGGACGTATTGGAGTTCAGAGATCGAGTCATCAAAGCCTCTCTGGCATACGGTCACCTAGTGGTCGCCACTTCCCTTCAGTGCTATGTCTACAAGTCAGTAGCTCACTCCATCTTTGCTTGTCTCCTCTGGTCATACCCTATTCACACTGGACCCACATTTTCTTATCTTGAGATTTTTTAATATTACTCACACATCAGGGTTTTGTGCAAGACTCATCTTTTACATTTATTGACCAAATCCTGAGGGTAGTCTTTGGACCCAATTGAAATATACTTGCCACGTAGCTAGATAAGCCTCCAAAATTTGCACAGAAGAAGTCCAGGTGAAGAAACCACAACTGAATCATACTGAGATGCTTATTGTTATTGGTCTTAATGTTATCTGTGTATATGGTAGGTTAATTACAGGTGCAATTTTTGCTTTGACACATCCTGGACATGACATTACAGAATTAAGAACACACACAGCCTCTGCGCCTGTTACAATTGACAGGAGGACAGAAAGTCTGTTGAAAAAGTTTTTTTTTTACTGTATGATTGTTTCAGTCCGTGTCTATCTCTTAATGCTCTATCTGTAGATTTATCTGCTCTCCTTTCATTGGCATTTTGTTGTCTTTCACATAAGTGTTTGCCTTTCTGCCGTTCTTGGTCCTGTTTCTGTGGGTCTTCTCAGCTCTGCACTTATTTCAGATGTAGCACTTAGTTATTAGATGTCTGTGTTCTCACAAATGTTGCTGTTTGTGATGTTTATTCATGCCAGCTCAAGAAACTGGAACACTCCTCTCATCTTTGACCTGAAGGAGGGAACAGTGAGCCTCATCCTGCAAGCGGAGAAGTGAGTCTCTCTATTCCAGGAGCAGTGCAACAAGAAAGAGATTAGGCTGTTGGATCATCTATCAGCTTCTCTAATGCTTCATTACTTCGCTCTGACCACTCCTCAAGTAGCCAACCAAGCACGCATACACACACACACACACACACACACACACACACACACACACACACACACACACACACACACACACACACACACACACACACACACACACACAGGGGCTGTGCTCTAGATCAGCCAGCTCTGTCATACAATAAGGCTGAGAGTGAAACCACTGGGGGAAATTAGATTAATATGGAGTAGTTCTTGTGCAATACTCCAATGGAGTGTCACCGACACTCAGCACAGAGCTAAATAGATTACTAGCCATTCTGAAATCACAGTTGAGTTGGATAAGTCTTGCTGAGTAAGTCATTGTGTTTTTAATGTGCATTACATGTTTCAATTACTGGCTTGTGACGTTGATTAACTGTTATCAACTCTTCATTGTCTTACTCTGTAACATTTGATCTATTTCATCTCCCTCCCTGCTCCTCTTCTTCCCTCTCCTAGCTACCACACTTACCCAGATACAAAATCATCATCATATAATCACAAATTAAAGAGAAGAAAAGACAAATGCAGGACATGAGGGGTCACTGAATGGTTTTAATGAGAATGAAATGATGTGTTGTGAAACAACGTATGGGAGAGTGGAGAGGGTTCCATAGACTAGGTTTATGTTGGTTTTCCATTAAATTGTCACCCACCTGTATATATACAATACACTTACTCCACTCTCATCCATTGCGTCCTCTGGTCTCCCCCACCCAGACATTTTCTGCTAGTGGATGGAGCAGGATTGTATACGTTCTCCTATGAGGGTCGACTGATATCTTCCCCCAAGTTCCCTGGTATGAGAGCTGACATCCTAAATGCCCAGGGTGTCGCGCTTAGCAACGACACCATTGCCATCCGGGACAAGAGTGATGAAAAAGGTGAGGGGACAGTTGTCGCCACGAGAATTATATGAATAACACGGACTGTGTATTTACTATGTTCTCTTTTCCATTCTCCTCACCAGTCATCCTTCTTTTTGATGCCCTGACTGGGAAAGCCCTTGGTGATGGGAAGCCCTTAACCCACAAGGTGGGTAATCCTTTGCCCTCTTATTGATCACATGTGTTTCAGCAAGAAGAAAGCGCCCCGACACCGTTATTTTGCCTGTCTGTCTGTGCTGGAAGTAAGAATGAATAGCGCTGTGTAGATTCACATAAGCTGCTTATGATCACCTTGTCCCTACAGCTTAGCAAATATCGGACTATTTTGTTTTAATATAACGTACTGTGTGAAGAGAAGATGATTAATACATGTTTACAAATCAGATTCTAGACCAACAAAGCAAAAATCAGCTGGTTTAGTGATAGTTTTTAGAAGAGTGTGAATCTTGTTGATAGGTTAATAATCTGCCTCATGGAACTGATATGTTAGCACTGGATATCTTATCAGAGCCTAGTAGTGCCTGGTTACACTAGAAATTGGCTCTGTGAAAATAGTTTGTGCGTCCTTGCAAAGTAGGGGCTGCTGGACGCTTGGTGACATATTGACCCCATAACCCACAGGTCATTTTTTAAATGTATACTTTGTGGTTCTCTCCATTCCCCCGAGGGTCAACAAAATTTGCAGTTGGTCAACAGTGTGAATTTGTGTCAAATTCCCCAATGTTGAACTCTGCACCTTGCAAAATTAACCTAACTCCTCTGCTGGTGTTTCCACTGCTCATGATTGATTCCATTGAAACAAATTATTTTCAAAATGTCGCCGTTGTTAATGTGAGCAGATTCTAAGGGTCATACTTGGTATCTAAAGGGTCTGGATTTGTATTATTTTCCTTTCCAGAGCCAAAAAACACAAAAGTGTATTAGCAGGCCTAGCTAACTAGCATACTTCCATCAATATTAACGTACTTAGCATACTTTCAGCTAATGACTGTATTTTTTGGAAATAGCTCTTCAGGCACGGAGAGATGGCTCGAGATCACAAGTCACCCTCAAAGTGTTTTTTCTTTAAACAAAAAAAGGTGAAGTACATTGTTTGAAAATGCTGACAATAAGGCATAAATCTCACCTTTAGTGTGGTTTGTTCAAGTATGTTTTGTTATAGTAGGCATAACAATCAAACAGGGCTATGTTAAAAACATATTGTCCTAAAGTACTGCACTATAATACTGACATAGCTAGAGCCAGACTACGCTGTAAGATTGATGCCACTGCTTACTTTCCATTTCTTCTACCTGAATCAACTAGTGAGGATGCTGACTTTCTGCCTGCAACCTTTAACGTTTAGCTATAGGTAGTGGCTAATTGTTTGAGGGGAACAACTTTTCAGAGTGAGTGTCTGTGCTAAAAAATACACTAACCCATATCCAGAGGGAGACAATAAAGACACAGTAAGAGAATGGGGGAAGGGATTTGGAGTCAAAATAAGAAGGAAAGAGACAAAAAGAAGGAAAGAATTAGAAGAGAAGGAAAAGAAGTGGAGGTAGCAGTACTTACTGTTTGTCAGCATGGCTTTGTCTGCCAGTGCTCCACAGCTCCAAGACACTGCACTGAAGCCAGCTGGCTCTGGCCAAGAAAACACACACATTCACTCGCACACAGGTTCAGACACACATATACGCACTTGATGTCTCTCTATCTCTCTCTTTCCCTCATATACTCACACACTTGGCAGAAAGGCTGTTGGGTCACGGTACAACCCCCCCTTTACTTGATTTTCCTCATCTTTTGTCGTCCCTCCATCATTCACTCCTCTGTTACCCCTGTGCTTGTGTGTGTCATTATTCATATGTAGCTGGAGGTGGTGGAGGTAGCTCTGGACCAGAGTGGCCCATCCAATGAAAGGAAGATCGCCCTGATAGACAAGAACCGTGACCTTTACTTGACCTCTGTGCGTCATCTTGGGCGAGAACCCAAAATCTGCAAAATTGGTGAGACGGGGAGAAGGGAACTAACTTGGCACAATGTGTAGTGACTCTTTGTTTTTATACACACGTGTAGCTAACATTGGCCTGATTGTTGTCTGTGTGCTCTGTCCTGTAGGTAGCATGGTTCACAGTATGTCATGGAATGATGCTGCTAACATCCTGTGTGGAGTCCAAGACAACCAGTTAACAGTGTGGTACTACCCGAGTACTGTCTTCACTGACAAGGACCTGTTGCCAAAAACACTGTACATAAGGGATGGCAGGTAGACATGTACAGTCCTTTGCTCTCACTTTTATAGTGGAATTATACTGTTCACCAGAGTGGTTATGTTAAAATTAGAAGCTGGCCAGAATTACAAGCATCCAGTAGCAAGGAGTGCAAAAGTCCAGCCACAGTGCCCTGACGATTTTCATGTGAGCTTAAAAAAAGTTCTGGAAGAGAAGGAGTAGGAAAAGATGTAAAATAAGAGCACAAAAGAGAGATAGAAGCAGCTTTTTTGCACCTTCCATCTCATTCCCCACGGTACAACACATTTAGGCACTCTCTTTTTGCCAGCAGCTGTCAGACTGTACAATGCTTCCTGCCCAAAAGTCCTCAGCCTCAGCCAGTATAGGAGGTGCTAAGGCACAGTGCCTGCGCTGTCTGTACAGGCAATCTTTTGCATGTCTCTGCTACACTAATCTGAACATTTGGTTGCACTGTATATTTATTTATTCTTTGCATCTCTCAGTGGTCTACGGCTTGCTGTTTTTACACTTCTTATGCTGAATCATACTGTTTTCAGACACCATACATTTGCTCTTAAAGGTTTTTTTTTTTTGTGGTTTTTGGTTTTTACTATTTTGGTGCTCCAGCAGCCAGATTTTATCACAGGAGTCATTAAAAGTTTGTTTTTATGCAGTGTGCAAATGGGGAACACCAGATACCAAGTGGCAAGAGCTAATGAATAAACAAATATAAAGGCTCCAGTTTTACCAATGTGTCTAGGTTAGGATATCTGTGATGGAAGGCAGGTTGGACCAAGTACAGTGGAAGTTACAAAAGCAGCACTGTCAGTATGTTATTTCATCAGTTCAGCAAAATTGTGTATGTGGTGGGCTGCCACAAATTACTCTTTGTATTAGAATTTCTGGCGCACACGTGCAAAAACTGCAAGGTCAATAAGTCGATTGTTGTATTCTTAATTTGAACAATCCATCATCCACTACATGTTAACATGTTAAATCAATTCTTTACCTAGTTATAACATATTCCATCATCCGAGGTATGTTATTGAACAGTCAGTCTCTTTTCCCACGTGAGAATTAATTTTTTTTTTTCACACCCACTAACAATACTTGCAAACTGTCAAACACTCGTACTGTTCCTTGCTGGATTTTTTGTGACAACGAAGCTCTAAGGATGTAGTTACACGTACTTGTTTTAACTCTCGTGTGTGTGTGTGTGTGTGTGTGTGTGTGTGTGTGTGTGTGTGTGTGTGTGTGTGGGGGGCCCCTTCAAAGTGAGTTCAGCCGTACACCTCACATTCTGAGCTATGTTGGCACCAAAGTGACGTTACGCCAAGGAGATGGTTCACTGGTGTACAGCAGCGTGCCTCCATACCCAGCCCTCCTGCACGAATACAGCACCTCTGCGCGCTGGGAGGATGCACTGCGCCTCTGCCGCTTTGCCAAGGTAAAATGCCCACATATCTCTATTGATGTGCACTAATTGTGAAGAAATTGTGTCAAACTTGGCTGTACCTGCTTTTACATCACATTTATATCTGGTCTTCTGTTGTACTATATGGAATGGTTTGACTCAACTTTACTATTTTTTCCTAAGGAGTTGCTACTCTTATAACAGGATATGAAGGATTGGTGTTCTTGATATGTTTGTACTGTAAAAAACTTGTGGTTGCTACTGATGGCAGCTTGGCTATTTAAAAATGGGGGGTTTGTGCAAATGTCCTGGGTTTCGTGACCAATCAGTAGTCTGCACTGTTTTCACATCACCTTTTTAGCATTAGCTCAGCTCGATTGGATCAAAAAAACCTACCAGGTACTATCCATCATGGAAAACCAAAAAAGAGCGAGTCGAGCATGCAGCTTTAGTGTTTGGATATCCATTTGAAGTATTTCTTTACATGTTAAGAACCCAAACAAAATGTATTCTATTTGTATTTATATAATTGACTTCAAGACATGTGACATATCCTGCAGTCTAGGGCTCAGGCACAGTCCAGGTTCCTGTGGTGTGTGTCACATGCACACCCGCATGCACGTATGTATGAAAGAGAGCGGGACAGAGTTTGAAATGAGAAGGTAGTGGACAGGTTTATGGGACCAGACCAGCAGGCTTTAATTAGCCTTCAATTAGCCTGGTGACACCATTTACCGGATTTAGCCCCCATAGACCTCACTCATAAATACACACTCCGCTGTATGCATGTGTAAACTCTCCACACGTACGCGCACACACACACACACACACACACACACACACACACACACACACACAACGCTGTGTCTTTGCTTGGGCAATGATGCAATAACCACAACCCTGGAGAAATGGATGGCTAGTAGCAAGATGAGGGTGGGACAAAAAGGGATGGAGAGAGAGGCACTGGTTTTAAGAGCCTTTTCCTCCATCCCCTCCCCCCTCTATTTCTGGAGTTTGGTGACAGTGTGGCTTTTTCCAGAATCACAGTCGACGTTGTCAGTAAGTCTTCACCTGATTCATACATGTAATAGTTTAGAGCTACACACAAAACAGGAATAAATAACAGTAAATGACCCTTATAATCTAACTATTATACAGGCACACCAAAGGAGGATTTCGGGGTAAAATTGGGATAAGTTGTTACATTTTTGTGTAAAGTTTATGACCTCAGGCCGACAGTGGCTATTTGTTGTTTACAGGAATGGTTTCCGATTAGAGCTGTTTGTCTTAGTGATGGACGCTGATTAAAGGGTGAATTACAGAGCGGTGACTCCAGTGTGAAGTTTGCTCAACTGTTGGCCAGTTGGTGGTTAAGGCTTCATTTTAATGAATGCAGCTGCATGGAATAAAGTAGTGACACATTTGTTTAGATTCATTGATGTTTCGTGTAAGTGTCTGTGTTCGTGTTCGTTTTGTGTGTGTGTGTGTGTGTGTGTGTGTGTGTGTCATGCATGTTTTCTTAGCGTTTTGGAGCATGACTACAATGAGGCCTGCCAGGATATGAGCAGGATGTAATGGGGACTATAAAGACATCATCATACCCCTGTCCCTATGCACACACACACACACCTTTAACTATTTCGATGCTGTCTATATTTCTAGTCACTGCAAAATAATTAACTCTGTATTTTAAATTAAGCCTTTAGGACAATGTTAAATAAAAGTTACATGTGTTCAGATAATAATAATGATCTGGATATGGTAAGTATAATAAAGTGAGTATGTGAAAATATTAAATGTAAAATGGGGAAACGCATTCAAAAACTAGTCTCCAGGTCACTGTGTCAGATTGTCATTTAAAGATGCTTTCTGCTTCTGCTCCTCATTTCTATTAGGACCAGTCTCTGTGGGCATGTCTTGCTGGTATGGCTATGGCAAACAGGGAGCTGACCACAGCAGAGATGGCCTATGCTGCCATTGGGGAGGTAAGAGCTTTAGTTAAAAGCTAATTCAGTTAAACACACTGTTTTTTGCCAGCTTTTCCAACACAAGTAAATACACACAGCTGAATAAATGGAAACTTCAATGATTTTGACGGAAGAAGTAAGTCAAAGAGACCAATTATTCTGTATCTCATTCACAATCTCTTTTTTCCTCTCTCTGCATATCCTCTCCCTCTCTTCTTTCAGTTACCTAGGGTGCAGTACATCAACTTTATAAAGGAGCAGCCATCTAAGGAGTCGTCTTTGGCCCACATGCTGATGTTCAGTGGTCAGGTCCAGGAGGCTGAGGCTACTCTGTTACAAGCTGGTCTCATCTACCAGGCCATACAAGTCAACATTGACCTGTTCAGCTGGGAGAGGTACAACTCAGTGTTTGTGTGAAATTGTGTACAGCTGGATGGAGAGAGACAGCATACGCTTTTTCTCAGCCTTGTAAGAGCTATGTTTTTTTAGGTTTGAGTGAGAGTCATGGTGAAGCATGTTTGTCCATGAATGTGTATCTACATTTTGTCATCTTGTGTCCAGGGCACTGGAGCTGGCAGTCAAACACAAGACCCATGTGGACACTGTGCTGGCCTATAGGCAGAAGTTCCTACAGAAATTTGGCAGGAAGGAGACAAATAAGAGATTCGTGCAGTATGCTGAAGGGGTAAGTTAGGGCAGCCTGTCTGCTGCACTGCATTAATTGATTTTGGCAGCGATGACACTGGGTGCCTTTTAAGCAGTGGAGGTCTTTTTCAAACAGGTTATCAACTTTTTATGGCACTGCTTATACACTTCAAGTGCCTCCAGTTGAAAAAACTCTGATTTTTCTCTGCTGTCCAATCAGAATTGAACTAAAAATGGAGGAAGTTGTTGCTGTCCCCCGCTGGAGCTGTTTAATCTCACAGATTATTTGGAGCAACATTAGTGGGGTGTGCTGCAAATAAATGCCTCAGTGTGATCAGGATAAGGAGGGGAAAAGCATTCAAACACACCCCACTTTCCAGCCATCCAGTGTGATCCCTGCCTTATCGTGTAATGTGACTAATTTAGCTGCTTTGCGCTATGAATCCTATACTGATAAAAGTAATGTACAGTGTTTTATCTAATCTCATTTCGTCTCGTCTCTCTGTCTCTCTGCCAGGTTGAGGTGGACTGGGAAAAAATCCAGGCGAAGATAGAGATGGAGTTGTCTAAAGAGAGAGAGAGAGCCGCTAATACCTCTGTGAGGAGCAGCGTGGCATCGCGACGTTAATGCTCAGGGGACACTTCTCTAAAACGTTAGCTCTGCAGAAATTGTTTCCCATGTGTTTTTGACATTTGGGGAATATTAGGTGGTTTGGCTCAGCCTCAGAGTATAAAAATAATGTCTGTTCTTGAGGTACAATGTCCACCATTAGTTCCAAATACAGTAAGTAAAAACAAAAGGGAACATTTGGAGATGTGTAGTCCATTAGTTTGCCATGAAGAATATGACACTTGATTTTGACTCTCACACCGCAGTCTTGTTTCATACACTGTAATGTGAAACATTTGCACAACATCGTACGTGGCATTCTGTAACTGTGGGTGGATGATTTGACTTTTGATAAGAGTATCGGTATTTCTCAGCAACAACACCCTAATGGCCTTTCTGTCATATCAGCCTCTCAGTGATTTCAGTGTCTAAGGTTCAAAGTTGATTGTTATCTTTTTTTCCACTTGTTAAAATTGACTTGGTGAGTTCAGTTATGCACAAATGTATTGCTTTGTTTTTGTTTGACTTTGTGTTTTTTATATGTATAGATATTTTTACAGTTTATATATTCAAAGCTTTGCCTTCTGTAAACACTAAAATGATTGTCAGTTAATAAAACAGATGGAAATACTGTATATATTCAGCCTCTTGTCGTATTTCTTCAATGTCTTGACGCTTGACTTTTTTTATACAAAGATCATAGAGTATCTTTGAGATGTTTTTTCAGCTTTGCACATGCACCCAGAGGGTATTTGTGTGTGTGTGTGTGTGTGTGTGTGTGGGTGTGTGTGTGTGTGTGTGTGTGTGTGTGCGTGTGCGTGCGTGCGTGCGTGCGTGTGTTAGAGTCCAATATTTCTACAGTGTGTGCTTCTCTTTGAGTTATTCTTGTATTTCCTTTTCTGCTGAGGTGTGAAACCATCTCTTTGCCATGCAACTCCACCCCCTGGTTGGCAGAGGGCCAGTACATCAGCGGACCATTATAGCCTATCCATCTCCTGTAGTGGCCCAGGAGGGACACATGAGGGAGAAGATCTCTCTCAGGGCTCTCCAAAAAGACAACTGCTGGACCATATCACGATGATGTGGACAGATAGGGTAGAAAGTGATCGGCATAATCCCTGAAACTGTGAGTGGCCACAGATGCTGAAACATCAGAGAAAGCTGTAGATGTAGGAAAATCTATCAATGGGTTCATTCTCTCTTGCTGTTCTTGTTTTTTCTTCAGCACGCTGCACTTTTAGCAGCTTCTAGTCCAAGTCTCTCTCTGAGTCACTGTCTCTGATTTTTACTCCCTCCATCCGCTTTCTTTCTAAGCCTACTCACTGTGATGAACCATAGTCATCCAGACCAAACACCATTAATCTATGAAAAGACTTATCAGCAAAGGAGTCAGGTTTCACATGCATTACCACAGAGAGCGGCCACACACGCAGTGAAAAATAGAACTGAAATGAGTTTTGTGTTGTATTCATGCTTTCTTTTAAACGATACAAAGCATACTGTGCCCAATCTGATACATTCTGTAGATTAAGAATAGGAAAGTCACGTTTACTCTCAGTGAGTATTTCATATTCTTTAAACTACACAGCACACAGTACTAAATAGATTATTTTATTAAACCACAGAGTTGCATTACCATATTCAGTGACTGGCAACATCTCCTATATTAGATTGATTGATAGCTCCCCCAAAAATACACTTCCCGGATATAATGTAGAATTTATGAGGAGGATAATGCTCATTGATTTGACCTTTTATAGTATATCTGTTCTTTGGTCCAGCAAGCAAGAGAACAACTGAATCATTGGTGCATATTCCAATGTTGCTAATATCAAATCCATTTTGTGTGACTGTGTGTGTACTCTGTTTATCTGTATGTCTGTCTGTTTTCTTTCTGTCTGTGTCTCTGTATATGTTTGTGCACATACAGTATATGTTTGGATTTGTAATATGTGCATTTGAGGAGAAGGAACTACCTCACTGTCCTCTCTCTTGGCAGGTGGATGTCGCACCTTTACATTATCTGATTTAAGTTTCATGCTGGGAACTGTACAAGACTGGTCATGCCTATTCCAAAACCCACCCTTGCAAGATACATATGGGAGCTGGTTCACAATGAATCACAATGACGACGAAGGAGAGAGTGAAAAGTAACATTCACACCTCTTATGGTTTGAGTAGCACTCATACATGGCTTCATATATCTTAGGGTCACATACTCAACCCATCAGTGGGTTTTAAGCATGGATTTATTGCTTCTGAGTGCAAACTCCACCAACCCACAACTTTCCCTCTGGATAGAGAAGCCATCAGTGTTCACTATTGGCTCTACCATCATGGTCCGGCAGTATTGGATTACACAAGCCACCACAATCACACTCAGACTTTTAGTGTGAAGAGCATTAGCTCAAGGTCTCTAATTGCAGCAAGTCTAGATTTGCGGGTATAGTTGCTTTAGAAGCCACATCTTCTATATTTTAATAGCTTAGCATTTGACAGATCTTTGTGGTAAATAAGAATGCTTTGATATACTGTCTTCTATTACACTGTCCCAACAAGTATGCATTGGTCTTTCTGATGGCACATAACCACCCTGGAGCTTCTGAGATAAATCAGTTGAGTTGATTTAATAAGTTGGGTCACAGGGTGTTCAACACAAAATGGAAGAATAGGTAAGTAAAGTGCTCAGTTTACTGACTACACTTTCCCATTGCAGACAAGTGAATAAATCTGTCCGTTTGTCACAGGCAGAGATTTGTTTGATGCAGTGGAGGTCAGAGCTGAGAAAATTAGTTGGCAACTATTCTGGTAATTGTTTAAGAGTGAGAATCAATTAGTTAAGTCATTCTTTTAAGCAAAATTGCCAAAAATTTACTGGTTTCAGTCTCTCAAATGTGAGTATTTGTGTTTTTTCTGTGCCTTCTTTCATGGTAAAATAAATGTTATTGTGTTTTGGTCTGTTGGTCAGACAAAACAAGCAATTTGAAGACATCATCTCTCGCTCTGGGAATGTTTCAGTAGTCATTCTATAGACAAACGATAAGTCAATTAATCATCATAATAACTGGCAGGTTATTCAATAATGAAAGTAATAATTACTTACAGTCCTAATGGAGATTCTATTTCTATATTTTTGTCTTCTACTCTTTTGGCCTGGGACTAATGGTGTGCTAACATTTCTTCAAGTCCGGGCTGGAGAGAGGATATGACAAGTCACAAGTGTGACTGTTTACCACATAGCTTTATCTTATAACATACTGAGACATTTTATGGGACAGGTAAAGGCAAATATAACTTTAATCCGTGTAAACAGGCCATTAAGCTCGATGTAATGAGGTGTGCGTCTGTGTCCGCTTGGTTTTTCAGTTTGAAGCAGCAAAAAAGACACTCCTTGTCTCCATGCACATTAGCAAGGGACAGTTACACACTTATGGTCAACATACAAGTAGATCTAAAGATATTCTCAATCTGCATCCTCAGATCACTGAACAAAGAAATTATTGCCTCCTGTTCGTCTCACCCTTGTCTCCTGTTAGATGTCCCTTTGTCTTTTCCTTTGCTTTGTCTGAGCTCTCCGCTGTTAGTTCTGCTCGGGGCACCAGTTGTGATCTTGTATAACATGCTATCATCAAAATACAACTTTGTTTCTTGGCAGCTTATGCCCTATCAGTATACCAGCTATAATCTCTGCCATTGTTTTTTTTTCCTGAATTCAAAACCTGGGAGACACTGATACATGCAGCCTCAGGGGCAGCAAGGCTCTCAGGATCAGAGCTTTTTTTTTTCTTCTTTTTTTTTTAAACTACACACTTCTTGCAGTAGGCATCAGACATGGCTCAGGTCACTGATAAAATGCTCATCTGTCAGCCCCCAGTGAAATGTGTGTGCGTGCATGTGTTTGAGTCAGAATATTGCTTTCATGCTGATAAGATATAAATGAACTGTTTCTAAAGCTGGCTGATAAAAATGTGTGCCTCAGAAAGTATTAAAATATTGATATTCCTCCCTTCACTCCCTCTTCTAGCCCACATTTCAGGTTACGGGGGGGGGGATCTAAATATTCTTCCTTTTGTATGCAAATTCAATAAAGAATAAATAAAAGAGAAGAATGTCTTTCGGGTCCAGCAGAATATTTTGCATTACAGACTAAGAAAGGTTGAGAATTTGACAGAAGAAGCATGGTTTCACGGTGCCACTTAAAATTGAGGTGCTGAAGTAAAACTTAATGCGATTGTGCCGCAGCCAAATTAGCCGTCCCTGTCACAAAGAGCATCCATTTCAGCCGCCTTCGCTTACTTTATAATCTCCTTTGCTTAACCCAAGCGACCATTTGCATACAAAAGGCGAGTGATCCCCTATAATCTTACAAAACACGTACATTTTCTCAGCCTCCTCCTTTTATTCTTAACATTTGGGATTATAATTGCACTTGAGTTTATATCTCTGCAAGATAATTACCCTGATTATATTAAAATAAGAATGCTGTATTGTCTCTGTAGCTTTGTTTCCCGTCAGACAGAGTTCCGAGATGTCCTTGGGCTGTGTTGCGGTCCTGACACCTCCAGGACATCCCGTCTCTGGTCTCCAGCTCTCGGTCCCGCCGCTCTCACCCTGCCCTGCCCGCCCCGCTCGTTTTCCGACAGCAAGTTATCATCGGACCGGTCTCTGTGCATCTCCTGCATGCTTTCCTCATACGTGGGCAAATATTTGACCTCGTCGTAGGCTGGCAGGTTCGGAGAGGCGAAGTCCCCGAGGCTGTACTCGGGGTACCGGTCCAGCAGGGAGTCCTGGGACGCCGATGCGTGTCCGTGAAAGAGGGAGGGCTCCTCGGTGCGGTCGTGGTTCGGACCGTGCCGGCGGGGCCGCGGGCAGATGATCCGCTGGATGAAGTAGCCCATGGCGAAGAGCAGCAACAGGATCAGGATGCCGGACAGCTTCCGCGTAAACCAGCCTACGTTGTCGAAAAAAATGTGGATGGGGAGCTTGCAGCAGCGCACGGCGGAGCTGGCACTGCCGTTCCCGGTGGCGATGGGCGGACAGCACTGCTGGCCGTCGCCGCACTGGACCTCCCCGCAGCTCCGGAGGGCTTGACAAGCGGAGACCAGACATGCCGACAAAAGGGTGCCAGTGGTCCCGCGTGTCGTCCTGCCGTCGCCCGGCAGACGGGGCATCATCTCTGGATCTCCCGGGAAAGTGAACGCGCACGTTTTGCCGTCTCCCGTGCGTGCGATGTAATGTGTTAAAAGTCCAGGTGTTACAGGTCTGCCTTTCTCTCCAGCTGTGCACTAATCATCCGCTCACACAGCCACTGCAGCGCGGAGCGGGACAGCAGGTGCCCCCCCGCTGAGGACGATAGGAGTGGAGCAACATCAGTGTCTGCAGGGAGCAGCGATGAGAATCATGAATAATCTTACATCATTATTACGTGCGGACATTGCCATCGGTTTCCTTGCTCGTACCAGTGAGACCTGCAGATATGGTGCCCATCATCACTTGACACTGTCGCATTAAACCTCACCTGAACTGTCAAGAGTGTGACCCCAGTTATTTCAGATCAACAGCCTCCCTCTCAGATGCTGCAGAGCCTGTGGTTTGTGTTGTTTGGTTAGATTCAGTAGGGGAATCCTGTACATGTAGAAGAAGTATAAGGTTGCACAAAATGTTCATACTCAAGTAAAGCACCTCAAATTTGTACTTATACTGTACTTAAAGTAAATGTATTTAATCCACCACTGGGGGCTTGCAACCCTCTAAAGGATCCCTGATCCTAGACCCCACTTCATGATCCATCACCCCCCCCAAACAAAAAAAAGCAGAACCATGCTATAAACTTTCACCCTTGCTGAATCCTGCATGGACACAGGGTCCGATGTAACCAGTATGGGTGAATGCCCCTGATATAAGGCGCCAACAGATCTACCCCTCTCATAAAAAATGAATAGTTCTTGCAATGTGGGCTGTAATGGCCCCCCATTACAACAGTGTCTGGATTCGCATTAGTCCAGCATCACCCTAGAGGACCATGTGTCTGCAGCATTGAAGGACATAACTATAAAACTTAATCTCCAGTTTAAACGACAGTCTCCTCTCCTCAACGTGTAAATTTACACTAAAGATGCCCGTTTGGATGTCATCCAAGAATGACAGATGGCTCAGTGAGCTGTTCTACAATATGAACTGATTAATTAAACCAGTCAACGTGTTGTTTTGCAATAAAACAGCGACTGTATGAATAATATTCTACAGTGGTTGTACAGAGTGACCAAGGTCACTTTCAAAGCCTCGTGCCCTTATTGGATCTGGAAGGCCTCCTGAGAGAGTTGGATTTATTATAATAGAACAAAGAAGACTACAGCTTGTTAATATATTTTAAATACATTTTGATATGTGTTGAGATATGGGCTTGATAGCCTTTTGTCAAGTTTCCACGGTGGAAATCGTGGTCAATGCTTTTAAATTACAGGAACATTTCACCCCCTCCTGTCTTCATGTTACTCTTTGTCACTAATAGCCAGTCTGTACTCCTTTCTGTCCTAAACAAGGCCTAATGCACAATGCACCAAATCTAATTACTGGAGCATTATGACGTGAAATTCAGTAGATGGGTAACATCATGCAGCCTAATTTATGCAGCATCGTATTTCTTTCTGTAATCGGCCTCGATTAGGGAAATGTGATCGCAAGGCTCCCTCCTAACCAAATAAACAAATACACAATCGATAGCCTGTGGACAGTGGCTCTCAGAGAAACACTTTTCAGTTCCTTTGTTTCGAGGGCTTTCCCTGCACTTCTGCTACTCTGCTTCTCTGTGGGCTCTTACTGACACATGTAGGGAACATCCCAAATCAAACCCATGTAAGCAATTATGTAGCTTAGATAATAAAGATCTTTATTCATCCTGAAGAAAATGGAAAGTATAAATGAAAGTGCATAATATTAATTATTCCCATTAAATGTTTTGTTTTGTTTGTCACTGATCACAAGGATTCAATGACACTATATTAAAATATAATCCCTGCCTTGTCCTGTCTTGTTTGTCTTCTTTCTCTGACTAATTCTCGTCCTCAAGTCTGTTTCTATCCCACCACATCCTGCCTCCTTTTCCCTCCCTCCTTGAAATCCACCACAAAGTGCTGTTCTTGTGTGAGTACGATTGATTGAATAAATTCCCTTTTTTTATCTCTTCTCCCCTCCTCTTTGTTCTCCGTCCATCGTGGAGCAGCTTTCAGCAAACATATCAAACTAACTGGAGACTTAATACATCCCCTAGGAAACAGTAAAGGACAAGTGTTCTTTGCATTGTATATTTACCAGAAAATGCTGTTTCTGTGCTCCGACAGATGTCATTAGGCTTTTGAGGCCTTGGTGCAAACATAGACACTGGTGGACAGATGTAGAAATTATATACATAACAAATCTGTTACCACAAAGGCCGCTTTGGTGCTGTTGCATTAACTGACACAATAATTTGAAGTTGCAGCCTCCTGTATGGCTAACAATTAACGTGATAACTCACCAACTATACTATAACACTGTAATAAATGTGCTGTGCAGTATGCTTCCATTAATCTGGCACAAAGGTCTCTTGTGTTGTGCTTAATAATTCAGTCTTATGGGGTCCATTAGCCCAGTGTAATGATGAATGGCAGCGTTCATTTTCATGTGTCAGAGATGTTGATGTACAGACCGCCCAACTGTCAATGTCATGGTTATCGCGTTTGCATTAATTATGAAACAAAGAAAGCTTTGTCACCCCTCGGGCTTTGTTAATGGACCCACTGATGGTTCTGGGTTTCGCTTTGTTTGCACCAGAGCAGAAGTCATAACCTCAGGGTTACTGCCCTGAGACCAACTTCAGCCTCTGTAGCTTCATTACTGTATTTAAGGAAAGAATCTGATCTTTACACAACGTGATATACTGTTGTGATCAAGCGTATAGCATCACAGCAGTGTTTAGTGTCCACACATACATTATATAAAGAATCCCCTGCTGTGTAAGCACGTATAAGAGTAGTTATGTATGAATTTGCCGACTATAAAGGATGAATGCATACCTTTAGTTTAATGTGTGTGCAAATATTGTATCTGTGCAGTTCTTAGCCCCGAATTGCAGGATATGTGTGTGGGTCTCATCAGCCTTATTCCCTTCAGCTTGGACTCTAATAAAAAGCAGGGCCTTCAGTCAGTGAAGATTGTGTGAATCCAGAAAGTCCCACACCACAGCTATTTTTCACACCCACGTACTTCCTCTAATCTTATCGCTCTGCTGGCTCAGAGGTCTTTAAGTGTACAGGATTGTGTGTGTGTTGAGAGTAGGGGGCAACTATATTTATGTTGTAGTTCGTTTGTGTGGGTGTCTTTGTAAAGTCTCAAGCATGTTTTTCCCCTTTTTTTGCATCACTGGACAATATGAGGTTGAGTGTGAGGGACATGGCAAATGAAAGCAGGAAGGGATGACATGCGAAACATGCTGTAGGACAGTCTTCATTTAATACACTGCTCAGTACTAACTTTGTGCTTTTTCCTCAGAACTCAACTAAACAAGTGTGTGGATGTGGTCTCTTCTAGCAAATATGTTTGAAAGAAAGTGTGCTCCTCTTACCTTTATGTGGCCAGCGTTCTGTAGTTTTTGGCTTGGAGAAGAATCGGAGACCTGACTTGTTTTGAGGAGAAAATCTGCTCTAAGAGCCCCCCAAAAAAATCTTTCAAAGGAGCGAGAGAGGGAGGTAAAATACTTTTTCTGTCTCAGTGCTCTTAATAAAGCTGATGAGTTGGGATGTTTCTGCTGAGCTGGGCTTTTTGACTTTACAGTGAATAACTTTACAGTGAAAGTTGCCCATGTGATGATCGTAGGCCATAATACACCACTATCATGTAGACAAGGTTTAATGAGTAAGAGCACTAAGTGACTTGACTCAGCATCGTTGCTTTTTGTTCAAATGGGAACATCATGTTGCCAGGAAAGGTATATTTAAGTATATGGATATACATCAGCCACTGTCTTTTTACTTTTTGTTAATACTGCCTCTTCCATCAGACCGTACAGGGACATATAAAATGGAAAATAAGTTTGAAATAGTATCACAGTTGATGATGAAAATGAGAACTTAAGGAGATCATAGCATTGCTGTAATGATCTTGTGGTGTTGCTACATCTGTTGGATGTTTATTCTGGTTATTCTAGACATGTGCATTTGTCAAGGGAAGTATTGTAACAATAAGTGGTAATACTATCTGTTCATGTGTCTTTAAATAAATAAAAACTTTAATTACAGAAGATAAATGCTGCACTTCCACACTGCTACAGACAACAACCCAAGATCTTAAACCTAGCTACTGTTCTACTGCTGGGTAAGAAATTATGTATTAATTAAGATTATCAGTTAAGACAGAAGCTGTTTTTCTGTAGCATATTATTATATAGCTGATAGCACAGGACACAAATCTAATGTACACACACTCAAACCTCAGACAGATTTAATGGGAAAGTTCTCATCAGAGGGATGTGAGTGTGCAGCATTAGGGGGCATACACACAGCTTTTCCTAGACTGCTAAAAGCCCCCAACCAACTTCCAAGAACAAGGGCAGCCTCATTTTCCCCTATAAGATAACCCGTCTACAAACACCCGGCTGCTGATGACTCAGCTACTGGGACTCACACTCACATACATACGTGGAAAAACCAGACAGACACCTGGAGGTTAAATATAGGATAACGTTTTCTCATTCCCACATGTTTTGAGAGGAGGTGGAGGGCAGGGGATTTTTGACCCCCTGCCTCCACACTACTGCGCTGAGTCACACTTAAAGGAGCCGGGGGGGTCTGCTTTTCAGAAGGTGACTAGACTACGGCCTTCAGTGAAGTCCCTCATACCAATCGCCCACGGTACATCCAGGGACTCGTCTTTTTGAGGCCCCTAAATGCACAGAGCTCCCTGAGGGCCCTAATAATATGATAATTGATAATAATATCAACAACACAGAGATAAAGTGGAAAGATAGTGGGAGATAAAAAGAAAAAGAAGCCATGGCAAAAACACACATTACACAGAAACTCTGACAGGCTTGAAAGGGAGAGGGGTGTTCAACTGGGAAACTCACGCCCGAGTTTTCCAGAGACCATGCAGACACTAACCTCTCTTTATCCCCCTCGCTGCCTAAATTAAGGCCTCTGTTCCTCTGTTACTTCCCTCCATCAAGTTTTATGGACGTCCAGAGACAGGAAATCTGTTAATATGTGAAAATGCACAACAATTAAAGCCAATCCCCTCCAGTAAAAGGGGGAACAATGAAAGATTCCCAAGACATTCTTAGTAAAACTGTGTAGGTGTCAAATTTATATACTGAAAATATCAAGGACAGATGTGCCTGACATCTTAGAAAACACGTAGTTTACACATTATACAAAACTTCAAAACTTTACACGTGATACAAAACAAAGAGATCTGTACCACTGTACTGTAAGGATTAACTTCTTCAACTCCATGTAGCCTTTGGGTAGGCCCATCATTACAAACTTATGCTGTGCAAAGAGACTGCTTAAACGCACAAATGTTACTTTATATTGTAGTCAGGATGCAAAAAATATCAAATATTGCATGCCAAACACAAGCAAATGTGTATACGATGATGTACCGTTTTCCACTTACTATAACAATGCAGCTTTAAAATGGCAATTAATTGAATATTTAACTCAATAACTGTAACATAACTCAGGAAACGGTGGAACAAACAGAATATAGACATTCTGTCAAATGTTATTGAAAAAAATATTTATCCAACTTAGAAACTACTTTTTAAAGTGAGTATTGGGACCACTGAGGTTTGAGGGATGGCAATGTCAGTGGGTTTGTTGGTCCATTTTTATATCAACTATTAGATGGATTGTCCTACTGACTTATTGCACCATCATGAGTTTGACATTTGTGGTTTTGCTTGAAATGTCTCGACAACTAGTTAATGTATTGCCATGAAATTTGGTTTACACATTTATGTTGCCTCTTTAGGATGATTTGTAATAACTTTTGTGATCCCTTGACTTTTAATCTAGCGCCATCATCAGGTCAAAAGTATAGTGACCGGACTTAGGGCCAAATATTTGAAAAACTAATGACACTAGTTAGCTAATATTACCATGCTAACACACTAAACTAAGATTATGGTAAACATTATTCTGCAAAACTTCTGCATGTTAATATGCTAAAGTTAGCATTTAGCACAAAGCAACATTTTGCCGAAGCACAGCTTGATGGAGCCAGTAGTTCGGCTGTAGACTTTTACTCTTATAACACTACAGTGCAAAGACTTTGAAAATCAATTTCCCACATCAACAGTTGAAATAAAGGGGCATAATGTCAAACAGCTTTTCAGATACCAGAGGTTTATTTTCTCATCCAAATCACAACACACCGAAAATAGAGAACAAAAGAAGTGTAAACTGTGTGGGTGAGATGAAAAAACCCCAAGGGACTCATAAAACATCTAAACCCAAGAAGAAAAAAACATACGATGGCAACAGCAAACACAGGCGATTGCCGAAAAACAATAAAAGGCATAAAAATAATGATAAAGAACAAACAAATATAGACCATGGTAATGAAAATTAAATCAAAGGGAAAGGGGGTGTATGTAAGTCACAAGTTCAGTCACAACTCATTAGGGTTTGAATCCAAGTCCTGGAGTTGTCTACTATTAAATCAATTTACACTTAGAAAGAAACATTTTCCCTTGTTGATCCAAGGCCCTGTATCTGAGTACAATAATACCACTCTGTATTTTATATAGCGAGTTTATCCTATTGATTGCACAGGAAAGAATTTTTAGAGAACTGCCAACTCTTAGGCCCATGCATTATACATTATACCGTTGTACTGGATTGAATGAGGTTGCCTCTGAAAATCTCTCATGGCTGGACGATCTCCAGAGCCTCTCTCTCCCATTTTCTCTATGCAAAGGTGTTGCTCTTTGTCCCTGTTCGCCTCTCTCCAGTGTCTTTATGCAGGGCTACAGCAGGCACGGCTCTTTTGTTGCTATGGATCTTTCCAGTGATAACTCAGCCCTGATGGCAAAATGGCCCATTGAAACTGAAAGGATATGGCATTTCTCATCTCCAGAGTAAGAGGACACCTTTTGTGCATCTGTGGCTGTGAATACATGTATGTTATAAAGGGAATGTTTGAGCACAGAGGTATGGGTTTTCCTGCCTAACTGAGTGGCCTTATATGTGAGTGACTGTGTTTTTCTGTGTGTTATTTTGAGTGTGTGTGTGTGTGTGTGTGTGTGTGTGTGTGTGTGTGTGTGTGTGTGTGTGTGTGTGTGTGTGTGTGTGTGATGGATAATGAGTCTGCACAATGAGGGCTCATATTAACCCTCTAGGGTATGTGACATCATCGTTTCCAAACAGGTTGGTCGATCTATAAAAAAAAGCCTTGTCATAATACGCACACATACACACACACACACACACACACACACACACACACACACACACACACACACACACACACACACACACACACACACACACACACACTAACACAGACAATGAAAGACTGTTTTAACTGAGTCACAGTGAAGGGAAAGATTGTGTCAGTTGTTTCTTTTGATAAAGACCTTTCCCAATACCTGTTTTTTAAAAATATAACTCAGATCAGCTTTTTATGATTACAACACCATGGAGGCATATATTATTTGGTTTTTAAGTCCAAGTCAAGTCTCAAGTCTTTGATATTTGACTTACAAGTCAGAAAGCAAGTTTTTCCAGTCCATCAACGCTTAGCATGCTTATTACAATGGCACAACAGACAAAATCCCAACAACATCTGTGGAATGTAACTAAGTACATTTACTCAAGTACTGTACTTAAGTACAGATTATATTATATATTATAATATATTATTATATATAATTATATTATTTTAATGTATTTTTTGAGGTTTTTATTGCCTTTAATCGATAGTGACAGCTAAAGAGTTACAGGAAAGGGGGGAGAGAGAGAGGGGATGACATGCAGCAAAGGGCCACAGGTCAGATTCGAACCCTGGGGCACCACCACCTCTACCATTCGAGTTATCCGGGTGCCCCTTAAGTACAAATTCAAGGTACTTGTCCTTTACTTGCAACTTTATACTTCTACTCCGTTACATCTCAGAGGCAAATATTGTACTTTTTACTCTGCTATGTTCCCCTTGCTGTTGAGTAAAAACCATGTATCGCCAAATTATTTTCAATGTGACTTTTTCTGATAAACTGTAGGATCAAGTGTTCCTTAAAAACCCTCCTTGGGTTAACTGGAAAATGCATCATCACAAAGCTAAAAACAGGACTGTTTTTCTGATATGTGGTTCTCACAGGACAATGATGATATGAACATATGATGATCTTATATAATATGATGCATTGCTGAAGATTAAACTACCCAACAGTATATAAAGTACTGCACAATGAGTACTTTCACTTTTGGGTAGCCAACCACAATCTCTATAGCTCCATACTGTGGATGACAATGTCAGTCGGTCAGTCCACGACTTTAGTCCAGAGTGATAAATCTCGATACAACTACTGGATGGATTCATTTTGCACAGACATACATTGGTTCCCAGAAGATGAATCCTGATTACTTTGGTGATCCCTGACCAACCACCAGCTGATCAAAACTGTCACTTAATCAGTCAAATATATAATAATCTATACATTTTAATAATCCATTTAATAGATGGATTGGCATACAATTTGGTACATGGTTCCCAGAGGATGAATTCCAGTGACTTAGATGATCTCCCGACCTTTCCACTTGTGCCACCGTAGCTCAAAACACCGCTGGTCTTTAGTTCAGCCTCACAGAGCTGCCAGTGGGGCCTGTAGTCAGAGTCTTGTTAAATATTTATTGACCTGAGGTTGAGTCTACTCAGATTTTTGTCTCTTCAAGTCTAATCATCAGGCAGTCAAGTTGAGTCTCAAGCCTCCAGCTCATTTCATACTTTAAGTGACTTGAATGACTCCCTCCTCCTTCTTCTATTCTCTGAGCAAATCTTTTCTCTCACTTCTCCTCATCTCTTCTCCTCTTGACCTTCCCTGTCCTCTCCTCCTTTCCCCCTCCTCCACTTCTCTTGCTTTATCTCCTCTAGTTTCCTGAAGTATTGGGGGTATCGTCTCGCCACTGAGTCTGATGTTGTGCTGTCTCTTCCTGCAGTGAGGAGCTAATCTCTCCCTTTAGACTCTGAGACTTGGATAATGTCCCTGTTAGTCTGCGGCATCTGTCTCTCTCTCTGTGTCTTTCTCCTCCCCGCTTCAAACTACATCCATCTGTGAAAGTTGGATGGGTGGATGGAGAGAGGAGGGAAGGAAAAGATCAATGAGTGGAAGATCAATAGGAAAGCCCTTGATCCTTCACTCATTCCTCCCACTGGACATATCAGAGGCTCACACATTGCTCTCCCCACCTCTGTGGCTCTCTCTGACGGAGTCTGAGCTTATGCCACAGATGGATACTTTGATTCTTTACACATTTCGTAGGGAATGAAACTGTATGTTGACACTTCAATATCAAATGCATGAATCTAGTCTCAAAGTGTGTCTTCACGTGCAAGGGTATTTTGTATGGTACAGTCTTGCTGCTGCCTTGTACTTGTTTTGTTGTGTGATGGGACATCTGGTGGTGTCTTACTGGTAATGCAGCTCTGCAATCTGATGTGGAGGTTTTCCCGCTCAAAGTGACCTAGTTGCACAGTGGAGTGCTGGCTGCTCCTTTTTTGTGTGGGAAAAAATGTGCAACTAACAAATACTGTATGTCTCAGATGAATGCAGACATCTTATTTTGGTAAACTTTAGGGTTTGTGTGTGTGTGTGTGTGTGTGTGTGTGTGTGTGTAAGTAATGCATAAAAGGCGACTATGTATGGGGGCTCCTCAAACTAATAAAATGTTAATTGGCTTCACTTTGTACGCTGTTATCATTGCACTAACAACAGGACCAGGCATGCAGCTGATTTCATTGTGTATAATGTGCAACAGCAAACATCTCCTGATCTACTTCCACTTCTCTATGTTTTCTTGACTTGAAAAAGTGGTAAAAGTCCGGCTGTAAATCACTAACACGACTTTGTAAAAGCCCATGCTGAAGGCGGGATGCTGCACCCCGCCCCTACATGTGGTTGCCCGCTAGTGTGCGTCCATGCGCTGCGCCGCAACTGCGCAGCGCCGCTGATCCTGAAAGCTTCTCCTTGTGCTGTGAATGGCGCAAAATTAGGCAACATGGCGTGAAGATCTGTTTTTATTTATCGCTTGCACACACGCACAGCATTTGTGAGAGGAAACGTTACATCCACATCCACGCTGCGGAACGGCTGGGTGTTTTCTGTTTGGATTTTGGGAAATTACAAGCGCCTTTTTTTTTTTTTTGGGGGGGAGGTTAAATCCAGATGTTTTGTTCTGCTGAAGAGGGGGGATGCTGCATCTAAAAGGGACGAGTGATGTGAAGAAGTTGTTTAACCACGAGGGCTCCGATTACCGCTACTGCCCTACCGATTAGCCGATGATAGGCTCATATTCAGGTGCTTTTATGCGCAGGTGCTGCAGGCTGTGGAAGAACAGAAAGTATAACGGGGGTTGGTTTCAGAGAGGAGGAGGAGGAGGATGGTGGCGGAGATGGCGAGCTGCGGAGCGGCTTGTCAGCTGGAGGACGGGTAAGACTTGTGTTGTTACTACGATGGAAACTAATGCTGTCTTTAGTTTTGTGTGCAGTGTTTGGGCAACATGTTGTCCGCAGTGGATGCAGCAGCGCTAAAAACAAAAATCGCCATAAGCGTCGACACAGGAAGTGGTGCCTTGCGTCTTCTGCTGCCGTCGGTTATGTTTGGGCTCTTCTGTTTTGTGCATTTGACGTAAAGAAAGCACATTTGCAATTGTTGCTTCCTGGTTATGCATACGTATAACTGAACTAAAGAGACGAAGAGAAAGAAGGAAGAGAGCGATGGAGCCCTTTGTTGTTGGTCGGAGCGCTGCACGCTGCTGTGTTGTTACGATGTGATGACTCACTGACAACAATGTAACATCACGCTGTTTGGAGACCGGCTTATCCGAGCTACATCTAAAGATAACATTATATACTGACTGCAGTTTCAGGAATACAGGAGAGAAAAATAATGTAAGTGTATCCTTATGATACAGTGGACTACAGTACAAACAAGCACTTTAATAAGTTTTTCATTATGGTTGATGATGCTTATCAAACCCATTTGGCTCATTTAAAATAGTTTAGTTTTTAATGTATTAACTGAGGATAACCCTCATCTGATTCATACCACTTTGACAGTTTATTATCAGGTGTCAACCACAGGCAGGTGAGGTGATACTGATGACTCACTGTCCATTGTGACTGCTACTGTGTTGTTGCCATGGTATCATTCACCTGCTGAGGGCTGGAAAAGACCCTGAATGAACAGCACTATAATAACTGTAATAATTATAAACCTTGTACTACAACATATAGAAATGTTTGGTGGATTTATAAATGTCCATGAGGCTTTAAATTCCTGTGTGTAACAATAAGGAGGACTGGAAATTGAAATATAATATTCTTAGGTATGTTTTCATTGTGCCCCCCCCCCACACACACACACAGACGCCAACATGTTTGACAGTAGCCCAGAACGGACAAACCAAACACTGGCTTTTTGTGAGCTTCACAGCCACTATAGTTTCTCCTACATGTTTGGGAGGCTGCATTCAAATGGTTACAATCTGCAACAACCTCACAGCGAGAAGCCCTTAAATCATATTCACTGGTCCTGTCATAGAAAACTTTATATCAGAAGCAGACCATTCGCTTCTTTTTTTTCCTGTTTATGACCCACTGTAAACTTCCTAGTGAAAGCAATGAAGTATAATATTAATGACTGAAGATACCAAAGGTCAACAGTTTTTTTTGTACTGGTGTGTTATTAGTTGCAGACCAACTGCCAGTTGTTTATCTGCGCGCAGATGTTCTCCCTCTTCATTGTGTTTATGAGAAGTTGTAGGAAGCATGTAAATGTGTTGGTCTTTATCTCTCAGCCAGACACAGACCAACACCCTCACTCAGGATTTTTGTTATCATGTTTTGTAGTCGGGAGATTAAAAACAAGTGAGAGCAGTCAGACACGGTCTGAGAACTCATGCACAGAGTTTTTATTTATGGTCTGAAAGCAACCCTTTTCTCAAAGGAAGAGATGGTTACCGCGGCAACTAATGAGCCTCAGTGTTGTTGTGGTGTGACTATCTGGCACAAACCGCGTACAGGTTGACCTTGAACAGAAGAAAACTGTGTTTCCTGGACAGATGTTTGAAAACAAAGGAAGCCACGGTGCCTTATCGGGATTAACAGAAGGCAAAATAAAAAGACCACAATTTGGTCAGACTTAATAATCCTTATTTCCTGATGCATCATTTTACTTTTGATCTCGTGGTTGTACATTTTTTGTAAAAGACGCAGGGCCGGATATGACCTACTTTTTGACGCCTGCTGGTGCTGAACTCGTTCTTCTTGTGGGGTTGGCTTTCTGTCTTTCTTCCCTCCCCTGACAGATCTCAGGCGTGTTCCCTCTTGTTGAAGCTCAGACAGCGTCAACAGGTTACTCCACTCAGACACGGCAGCTAAACTATTATAACACTTGGCTCTTTGCTTATTTGATAGACTACATTCCTGGATAGTAAAGCACATATCAAATAAGTTAGACAGCTAAATATTGAGGTATTGATGTCTGCCGTGGATGCCAGGGTTGAAATGAATATCACGTTATTGATAAGAATTTCTTTTTCATGCTGATATGTATCATAATATGGTAACATGTATGTCAAACCACACGCAAAATGATCAATTACTCATTGTGTTAGTTTTTAATTATAATGCGGTTGGAATCAATAATGCAGAGACACCAGAGTTTTGTGAAATGATAACACCATATGATCATATCATCACAATATGGTACCACTGAAAGTAAATAAATGATTAAATGCGAATTTCTAAGCCCCACTGCTGTCTTAGTTATGAAAGTGTAAATCGGACTAGTTTTGTTTAATGGCAAAAGTACCCAGCCAGTATCTTTCCATGGCTGCTTTCCTGTACCATCGGTGCTGCTCTGAAAGTGGGTCAGTCAGAGCGGGAGGGTTTGGGTTGGAAGGTGAACCTATCATTCGACAGGATGGGTTGGTGTCATAGTGTGTGAAAGTGAGATGCAGGCGACTTGTACACGTTTCCTGTTTTTCTAATTCACTCTACTGAGTGTGTTCCTGTTCAAAAGCAGAAGTGGTGTACTATAAGAGCCCTGCAGCTGCGCAATTTTAAGAGCCATCACTTCCAACCTCTAAATTCTTCTCTAATTGTCATCACACATCCCAGATGTCCCTCATGTGACTTCTGGTGAATTCTGTATAGTTTAGAGTTGTCTGAATGTTATCTCCTCTGCCCTACAGAGACGGAGATATCCCTGCGCCTGAAAACAAAGGTAAACATCAACCCATTTTCATTCCTTCCCTCCCCCTCACTGTTGGCTTCACTTTCTCACAGAGCACACTTCATGCTACATGCATCTGTGTTGTTTTTGTTATACAATTATTGTGGTATGAGCCTCCTCTGCATCCGTTTTAATATTTTAAAAGCGGTGCATCCCCATCTACTATTTGTCTCTACTTCTCTCCACCTTTCTCTTCTCACTGTTTGGCCTCCATGATTTTCATATCATTTGCCTTTTTGGGCAGTAATGTTTATGCACAGTCACACGATCACTTGTGTCCCCATTGTCCCCAACTGGCTCTGATTAGGAATGCAATGACCTTTTCTCTCCTGGTACTGATCAACTCAAAGTACTGCAAATTGGGATTGCCTATTTAATCCTTATTTTCCCCAAATTTAAAACCTGTATACCACTCTGTGTGGAACTCATTGAGATTTTTATGCAAGGTAACACTAGGCAGGAGATAGAGGAGGTGTTGCTAAGAACCATGTTGGTGGCCTGGCGTAACTTTCGACAATGACTTTGACCAAAAAACTGTACTTATTGTGCATCGGGCCACAAGCCAAAAAGGTTCAGAACCACTGCTGTGCATCAACCTTTTTATGTCCTTGGTTTTGCTATGTATTTTGACACCAGCAGATGGCAGGCAACACACATGAAACTATCCAGCGCTGTGACGCTGTAAACAAATGTGCCTGTGTATGCATGTGCATGTGTGTATCTGTGCGGGTGTTTGCTCTCTGCCTTGTTTGTCAGTCTGATGAAGGGAGGCGCCCGTGCCAGGGCGAAGAGGGATGCCTGCTGGCTCAGATGAGGCAGCACCAGGAGTAGTGGCTGAGAAAGAGATTGGCCATGGGAGGCATATGAGGACGAGGAGAGAGAGAGGGTGCAGAGAGAGGTGATGCAGACAGATCGAGGGAAGTGGAGGAGAGAGATTGATGAGGGAGGTGCTGTGAGCAGAGCAGCGATGGCAGCATCTGCTTGTTAGTCTAAGATAAAACTCTGTGGGCCAGGGAGGATGGGCTCCATCCATTAGACAGCCAGGCGCTCAGCCAGATGGCCCGGTCCACGGACATCCACTGCTGCTGGGAAGAGAGGAGAAGCAGCTCCTCTGGACCCATCTGTATAAATGTGCCAGAATGTTAATGCATGGCACTTATCACAGTTCAGCTGCTGAGGAATGATGGACATGTAAAAGCTGGTGATGTAACATGTTGAGGGCTTTTTTGATGAGTAATATGAATGATCTTAAAAATACACACAAACAAATAAGTAAAGTAAAAGCTGAGGCCTCTCACTGGGGCTGCACCTGTTAGAGGAAGAACCCCTGTGATTAAAGGTAAAACTAGGTGCTAGATGCTCTATTATTACTTTCCTTACGTAAGGAAAGTTTTAAACAGTGGAGATGAGTAGCAAAAGAGCGTGTGGCTACACCTGAGGTTTCACTGCGATAAAATAGGCTGTGGTGCGTGAGAAGATAAAGAAGCAAAGTGAGTGTAAATATTTCCAGCACGTGTACTTTTCACCCCTACACAGTAACATATTCGTTCTTAGAAAATAACTAATAATACATACAAGCTTTATTGTTGGTGGTGTTTCTACTGCAGAGTTAGGGTTTCTGTTTCAGCTGATTCTAACATGAGACACATAGCTTTACTCTTCCTGAAGCCTCTGGTGGTCATGTGTTAACGGCAATGTAATAACTATAGAAATGTGGTTGATAATGCCATCAAACCTTTAAAAGTGTGTGGTGAAATTCCCGTAAATGTGACGATGATGGTATGGTTAACCACAAATATTAATAAGGATGTAGTAATAGTAATGAGTAATGAGATGGAAATTTACAAGGGCACATTTTGACATTATTGCATCAGTGTTTTACAGATCCAGCAGCACTAATCACAAAACTATTACTAATGTCTTACAGATAATCTGACTGAAAGTGACAATAGTAGTTCAGGTAAGGACAAATATCACACCTAAACAGGTGAACTCATTTGTTTTTGTTCCACATAACTCATACAAAAACTTGGTCATCTACAGAGAATCTTATTTGTTATGATATGGAATTCTTTTTCCATGTCCAATAAAAATATAGATATTTTCTCATAAATCCCTTTTACTCATCATTCACTGGAAATTCAGTGCAAAGTTTTCAGCTCTCCATTTCATATTAATTTATCAAACAGACAACACAGGAACATCCACTGAGGACAGCTCAGAGGAGGAAGAGGGGGATGAGGATTCTGGTGAGAGAGGCTTCATCACAGCACATACCTTAAAGGAATAGCTCGACATTTTGTGAAATGATTTGAATAGTTAGATGGGAACATTGATACCACTCTCATGTCTGTATGTTAAACATGAAGCTACAACCAGGAAAAATCTGCCTACCAGCACCTCTAAAGCTCACTAATTAACACATTATATCTCATTTGTTTAATCTGTACAAAGAACAGTGCAAAAACTGAATGTTGTGGTTTCACAATACTACTTCTTTGCCCTGAAGCACAAGTGACTTCCTGAAGTCTTGTCATCATCCAGAGGTTGCCAGGCAACCAATGGAGGCTTCAGGATCAAATGAGATATAACGTGTTAATCAGCAATCTTTAAAGGTGTCAGTAGGCAGATTTTGTTCCATTCAGACAGAGCCAGGCTAGCTGTTTCCACCTGTTTCCAGTCTTTATGCTAAGCTAAGCTAACTGGCTGCTGCTGGTAGCTCCATAATACCGTATAAACACGAGAGTTGTAATTGGTCTTCTCATCCAACACGGCAAGAAAGCAAATATTAATTTCTCTTGTTTATCACCCTCCCTTCTTTCCCCGTTCACCAGAAGACTGTGCTGAGAAGGATGGAGGAGAGGAAGGTAAGAATCAGCATCCTATTATCTATCCCAGAAAATCTTTGTAATTCAAGTATTTAACAAGATAAGGAATGAACGGTGCTAGAACGGTTAACAAAGTTTATATCCTTCATGTGCTTTGCAGACAACGAAGAGGCCGACGCAGAGGAGCTTAAAAATGGTGCGACACTTCATGAAACAACACAGAATATCGATACCTGCCTTGTCAGACGAAGCAACTGGTCTGCTTTTTGAAACGTGTCTTGTTTGTTGCTTACATCCAGACGGACATGTCAGCTTGTTGTCATGGTTACCATGGCTTTAGTGGCCACAACCACATCTTAATGGCAGCCATACTGCATAATTATTCCACAAAATGTTGGACTCTGCTGGGCTTTTTTAGGACACAGAATTTGATTGTAATTGAGCGTACTCCACCCTCACTCACAACCGGAAAAAAACTGGCCCTCAATCTCAAGTTTGTCTAGGAAGTCTGCCAGAGGCTGAGAACAGGATTTCAGCCTCTGACATGTGATTTTCATATGATAATATTGGACTTGAATTGTTTTTCCCTCTAGAGCCAGTCCCTGGATCTGTAGCAGATGTTTCAAACGGGAAAGGTAAGACAACGATAACTGATGTTACGTCCAAACCAATGTTCTGAAGATTGTGTCACCTGTCTTGTAAATAACAGGTTTTTTTGGTCATATACACCCTGACAGATGAGAACCGCTTCAAATCATGCTGTGAAAAATGCAAAGCCATCCAGCAGGTGAGCCCAGAAACCAGATGTTTATCTGACAAGATGTGGTGATTTCTGATGTGTTTTCTACCTGTTGTTTTTAATTATACTTGATTGAATTTGATATTCTTCTGATGTTGGAGAGGACATTTCCTTTTTTATGATGATGTTATAATTGTTTGTTCGACAGAGCCATGGCAATGAGCTTGTTACTCCCAGGAGGATCACTAAGGGACGATATCAGTGAGTACGACTATCTTTGCACATTTATATTGATTCTGCATGTACAGGATCACTCACTCTGTGTGTGTGTGTGTGTGTGTGTGTGTGTGTGTGTGTGTGTGTGTGTGTGTTGTAGGGTACAGCTGGAAGATGAGGGCACATACGAGTGTTCGGTCACCGGCCTTGTGTTTGAAGCATCGGAGCGGGTTCTCGTGCGGTATTCGGTCTTGTCATGGTCCAAGTTTGGTTCGTTCCTCCGGGACTCCTGGAAATTCGCTGGACCCATCTTTAACGTGGACACAGTCAATAAGGAGCCATCTGTCCTCAAGTCCATCCAGTTCCCTCACTCCGTCTGCCTTGCCGGTGAGAATTCATAATTATGATCTCGGCTTCCTGTGGTGACTCTGTGGCCCATAAGGCTGTGAACATCAAATAGTTTAGTTGATGTCTGTGAAAGTAAGGTACAATTTCTTAACTATTAATTAAGATTATGACCCATCTGTATAACATAATCTATCGTTTAAAGCCACTCTAGGTGTAACATAAAACCTTCTTTTCCCCCTAAAATCTTCACACAGATGCAGAAAATGAGATGACCTTCAGTGTCCTGCACATGAAGAACAACCGTCCGCTCATCGAGCCGACAGTGGACCACTCAGGAAGCCACGTCAAGTGGAATGTGACGTCCCTGTCACCCGTGGGTCCCATTATCCAGACGAGCCAGTCTGTAGAGCACCACGGGGTAGTCCTGATCTACAAGCAGCTGGGCAGTGACAATGACAACAACTACAGCTTCCATGTCTACCTGGCCACCAACAGCGCATCTGACATCAGTGTAAGTGTTGGTGAATGCTGTCTGCGTGTTGTTGTTGGAAACCAGACCACGGTTATGACCTAAATGATAAATCCTCTGACTAAACACTAAATCATGTGACCGGTTACACATTAAAATAGAACCTCACATAAAGAACACAAAAAGGTTTAATCAAACATTATTTTAAGGTGGTCTATTTTAGACAGTTTTTTCCTCAATGTTCCTCTTTTTACATCCTATTTTTTAGATTTAATCATTTTGTAATAGCTGGATGAACTAAAATGACCATGAATTTATAACATAACATAAGATAAGATAAATATCTCATTAAAACATGTTTCTGAGACAGATGGACTGATAAAAACATGACTGTTGTTTTGATAATGTTGTAAAATTTCTCCACAACCTCCTGTATTTGGAGGATCCTGTTTAATTTTTATATGTGCTGCAGCCAGTTGGTGGCATCCGCTTTCAAACACACATTTCATTCTGGCAATTTGACATTTCGATTTCATGATTGAAAAAACAACCTTAACGTTGCTTCTACCAGCTGTTCCTGTATGTTTATGAAATACTGCAGTTACATTATCATTATAGATACATACACGTTAAGAGAGAAATAGATTTCATATTTTATTACCATGTCTTAGGCATTCGGAAATAAAAGCTTGTATTATCCACTTTTAAAAGAATGACAACCTTCTCATGACATTTCACTTTAAAGCCCTTCTTGTGTTTTAATTGAGGAATTTTTCTCATGACGTACGGGCAAAAAAAAAAAAACCCTTCCCTCCATACACGGGACCAGGAAATATTCCATTCATGAGACAGTTCAGATCACCTGAGTCTCCCTAAATTTGTCCCTAAATGACTTTAAACCGTTTACCTGAAGAAAAAATATCCAGCAAAATGCCTAGAAAACCTATTAATGACTTAGAATAACAACAGAATTGGAGCCAAAACGTAACTTTCACTTCTTGTTCATGTTTGGAAATACTCTGATGCTGTGAGACTTTATAGAATTGACACCAGATTTCCAGGTTTGTGCAATACGCTGAAATAACGATCTGTTAGTAAGTTGTTGTGATTATGTTGTACAGCCCTGCAAAAATACTGTGATATTCTTAATCATACTGTTTATAGCGTCTGGTGAAGTGATCATTGACTCGTGTTAGCAGAGAGAGTAAGTCACAGGTCTCAGATTTCCACATTTAAATTGGTTAAAAGACAGTGGTCATAAAAAAGTTGAGCAACATTAAGGGAAACTGTTCCAGCTGGACTGAAATCTTACTTATTCACACTTTGAATCAACAAAACACCTACTAGTGACCTTCTCAAACACCCTCTGATATACATCTATATTACAGTAATTTTATGCCCTTGCACAGTAAATGTGTGTTTTTTTAGAATAACCTTCATGGTCAAAATGTCCGTGGTATGTATCATATAGGTATCGCCACTGGTGTGTGTATTACTGTAAGAGCACCACGTAATTCTGACAGCTACATGACAATAATGCTGAGTCATTTTCTAGCAGTGTGCTGCTAAGGAACCGTGTTTGTGTTTGTGTGTGCTTGTGTGTTTGAGCGCATGCAAGTGGTGAATAATCATACTACACCTATTATAACATGGAAAATTGTAGTAATTTGTGTTTTTCCACCTGATGTATTTTTATTTTTTTCCACTATGTATCTCATGTTGCTCTGTCAATCACTGACCAGAGTTGATCAGAGTGGTTTGAGACTCCTTCAATTTCCCTACTCCCTGTCACTGGAAAATGTGTTTTATTGAATGTTAATCAGCCCACTCATCATCTTGTCTTCTTGCTGTCCTGTGAACCAGGATATAGCCAAACAGGTACGGGCCTACAAGAAACGTTACATTCAGATAGAGAAGCCTCCCACGTGTGCGCTGGATGAGGGGACGTATCGTCTTATGAGTGAGCCGGAGGGAGATGTCAAACCTCAGGTGTGTCTTTTTGCATATGCCTGTGTATGTGTCTGCTCACATCAAATCATTTATATTGCAACTTATGAACTGAAAACACTGAAACATACAGTACATTATGTTGTGACTGTCACATGCATCATCATCAAGTTTACGTTTGTTATGCATTGACAGCACAATTTAATTATTTTTTATTATGTTTATGTGTCTCTATGCAGGAATTGAAATTCACCCTTGCGGTGACTAAGATGAAAGGCTACTTTGAAGCTTTCTTTGAGCAGCCACCTCCCTTTAAATTGTCTCTCATAGAGACTGAAACAGATGAGACTGTATGGTCGGCCACCATCAGAGAAGGTAACAGTGTGTTAAATCTTACACTGAGCATGGTTGGTGATTTGCAGGTGAAAAAGACTGAAATATATATATTTTAGTATATATTTATTTAAAATGGCAAACATTTTTCTGTGTTCATTGGACAGCTGGCAGTAGTTATATAGTTAGGTCCCACATAGATTTAAAGAGAAAGAATCTTGGGATCCACATATGAGATGAAGCCTACAAATGAATTATTTTAACAGGAATCTTTTTATCTGCCAATTTAGAGTTCACTGGGTGTTTTACATTTTGTGTGCATGAGTGTCATTTCTACTCCAGACGGAGATCACTATCTAGTTTTTCTCCCATTTTTAGGTGACTGTGTGAATAACACAGAAAAGAAGCCAAGAAAAAGGACGCACAGTAAGCTATTGCTTTTTAATCCGATTCTTTCATCGCAATATGCTTTCAGCTTCTACAGGTTGACTCACATCATATCTCTCTCTCTCTTTCTCTCATAGGCAGACAGAGGAGCAGCAGTCCCTCAGAAGAAGAAACGTCCTCTAAAAGACCTCGATGGCAGGACGAGTCAGGTGACTTTCCATGTCTCTTGCTAATTAATTTGAAAGGAACTTCAGGCGCAACTTTGTTTTGCAATGAAGTCACCAGAAACCAGTCCACACCTGAACTATTTCCAGATGCACCTGTCCGTCTAAAATTATATTGAAATTAAGTACCTGCATGTGTTTTCCAGATGGAGTGAAAACAGTGATGACTCAGGGCCAGGACATGTCAGAGAAGCAGCTACTGCAGGTGGCCAAGCGGCTCGGGAAGGAGTGGAAGCAGGTGGCCATCTTTCTAGATTTGAACTCAAGGGAGCTGGATGACATCCAGGCAGCAGAGAAAGATGTGACGATGCAGAAGCTGAAGATGCTGGTGGAGTGGAAGAGGAGAAGGCAGCCGGGAGAGGCTACGGCGTACCACCTGTGGAAAAGTGTGGAGGAACTGGATGACTTGCCAAATGAGGTCCATCAGACACTGCAAGGTAATAAACTGCAGACATATACTGTACATATTAACACATCTAATAGATATGATAATGACTGATAACCATAAACACTGGAGCTAAATCAAATGACCATTAGCCAAAATTGATTATTCCAGCCATAAAAAATCTAACAAGACTTCAGTCTACAGACATACTAACAGCACTGTGAGGCTGTATTTGTGCACAGTGGTGCTTTGAGCTAAATGCTAATGTCAGCATTGCTAACATGCTCACAGTGACAATGATAACATGCTGTTGTAACTAATAGGAGGTGTAATGTTTACCATGTTCACCATCTGAGTTTGTCAGCGCGCTAACATTTGCTTATTTGCACAGTTTTTTTAGTTAACACAAAGTCATTAGTTTTGCAGGTTTGTTCATAAAACCCAAATTATAACCTGATGATTAAAGTCAGTTCAAGCCACGTAAAATTAAAGGTGAGCAGCAGAGGGCCCAGTGCTGCCACGGGTGGGCACTCTGACTGGTCTGCGGCTACCATAAGCAGCAAACTGTGATGCACTGTGAGTTCTGACACCTTTCTATCAGAACCAGCATTAACTTTTTCAGCAGTTCGAGCTACAGTAGCTCGTCTGTTGCATTGGATCACACAGGCCAGCCTTCGCTCCTCGGAACTCTCCGGTTCTTTTCCTTCCTTGGATCACTTTTAATAGGTACTGAACACTGCAGACTGGGAACACCCCACAAGAGCTGCAGTTTAGGAGATGCTCTGACCCAGTCGTCTAGCCATCTCACTTTGTCCTTGTCAAAGTCGCTTAAATCCTCACGCTGCCCATTTTTTCTGCTTCTAACACATCAACTTTAGGACAAAATGTTCACCTGCTGCTTAATATATCCCACCCAGATTGAATCACTAGTATTGCTGCAGTATAGCAGATCAGTGACTGAAATGTCCAGGTTCCAGGAGATAATCAAGCAGGACCCTGATCTGTAGTATATTGTCCTGGATTAGTTCTAATTGATAACTTGTACTTCTTTTGGATTTTCAGTATGTATTTGTGTAAACTAAACAAGCTTTTGGTTTGATGAGAATAAAATTAAGAGATTCATCATAGTTTTAATAAGCACACGTACACAATGGGCTGAATTTTTTGTTGTGTCTTTTTTTTTTCAGACATGATGGACAATCGAGCAGCTAAGTGAAAGAGATTCGACTTAAATTGATCGGTCGGATTATCTGTTGCTCCATCATCAATCTCAGGTATACAACAAAGCAGAGTCGACCTACGGACAAAACATTTGCTCCTCTCTCAGTTTCTGTTCCTTTTTTTTAATATTTTCTGAACATGAAACCGATTAATGGGTGTTTGTATATCGCCTCATTTCATGAAAAGAGCCACCGTCTTAACTTTGGATGGGCATTGTCCCTAAATTTGTTCAGATTTAGTAATTTCATTCTGTAGTTGATACAGCATAGCTGAGCTGTACCTAAAGCTTTGTGTAGTCAGAATTTGATGATTAGCATTATCAGGTTCATAAATGGCCAGTAGAGGTAGAGGTCATTGAGATATTTAGTAGCTAATTATGTAGCCAGTAACCGAGGTAAATGCAGTGTTGAAACTGCAAAAAATGGGAAAAATCCAACCTGTGTATCTTGTTTGACATTTTAATATTATGTTTCTAGGACTTTTATAAAATAATTAGGCATTGCATCACATGCACATTCCACTGTCCAAAGTCTTACAGACTGAATTTAATTTTTATACCTGTGCACACTATGTCCTGTACATATGTTTTTTTTTTTACTACTACTTCTTCAAACCTGTGATGTTTTTTTAAAGTCTCTTGTGTTGTATTTGACATCTCAGAACCTGAAAAACTAAACTGAGTTGTATGTTTGTTTTTGTTTAACTTGAATTATGAATCCATTCCTGCCCTCCTGTGACTGGAACACACATCTTGTGTTTGTTAAGTATGAATGTGTGTGTTACAAAACTGCGGAAAAAAACACGAGCATTTTGATTCAGGACTGAATTATTCTAGTTGTGTGAGTGCAGCTACAGTCGGGCAACATTCATATATTTTTATGAGATGTCTTTTCAAGGCTTATATTATAGCTGTAGAGAACGCTTAAGATTTGAAAAACAAACTATACTGTAAATGGACTGTACTTATATAGCGCCTTTCACACACATGCACCGACGCACAGCAGTTCAATTAGGGTTTAGTGTCTTGCTCAAGGACACTTTGACATGCAGCAAGAGCCGGGAATCAAACTGCCAACCCTCCGATTAGTGGACGACCCGCTCTACCGCTGAGCCGCTGCCTGTGGTAACATTTCAGTTACATTTTCTCAACATTAGTCGCAGCTTTGTTTCTGTTGTACCTATTTTCAAATGACACTGTTTCCAGGCTCAACACTATTTGGGAAAAGTTGCAGAAATCACATCTGGAATGTCGAATGTTTTAGGGGTCTTCCATGCTGATGTTATGCAGTAATGTTTACATTCAGAGAGCAGGGTTGCTTCCTTAAAGAATTTACTACCGACAATCCAGTCCTTCCTTTTTGCACTTGTGTCTATATCATGTCCAAGTCCCTCCAAAGAATTGTGGAATAATTAAAGCTGCACATGTTGAGTAAATAAAACAAACAAAAAAAGGCCTCATATATGGTTCTTTTAACTTACTTTATTCCACAGTTGTTTGTATCATTTGCACCCAGTTTCATTCATATATCACTTCCACTTCAGCAATTGATTGCAAAAATTACTTTATTATAAATAACAATAAATAACACCACAGGGCATCAAATAAATAAATAAATAGATGTAATAAATAGATCTTCAATAAATACGTCTTCAATAAATAGATCTTCAATAAATAGATCTTAAATAAATAGATACATTCCCCCAAATACTGTAATACAGTCATACATTTAGAAGGGCCAACATGACCTTAGCAATAGTTGTCGTTCCGCTCTTAGTGAAGAGGCTAGCTTATGCCTAAGCAGTAGTCATGCAGACAGTTATGCAGCATGTGCAGTGTAAAGCAATACTTGGACAGTAGTTGTAAATGGTGGTAGTGAATGATCATGAAGGCTTATTCAGTTGTAATAAATTAAAGAAGTAAAGATATTGTGGTATTAATTGGAATGATGGCGATGATGATGATGATGATGATGATGATGATGATGATGAGGCTGCAGGCTGTTTACATCCTGTGCTCTCCTGAGGAGATGTAGCCCATGGCTCTGTTGATGGTGATGACTCGGACGTAGAAGCCTCTCATCATCTTACACATCTCCTGCCTGTTATTGAAGGTGTCATTTCCCCACATCTGGGCAACGTCCTCCTGGAAGACAACGGAAAAAGAAACAAAAAAAGACACAATAATCACCTGCCAGTTTCACACACAAAAAAAACACCCTAACTTCCCTGTGCGTCTTTCGTATCAGTTTCCATCTTAAAGACCGACAGATGAGGTGCAAATAGGGAACAAACAAAAAAGAAGGAATAGAAAAATACCTCTGAGGAATCTCTCTCTCCATTTGGCATCAGGCAGCAGTCCTGTATAAACCAGATATGTCGTCAGGCAACTTTCAAATGTTATTTCCCAGGAGATTCTCTCTCACTGTCTTGTTTCACTCTGTGTGTTTTTGTTTTTTTGTTTTACCCCTCCCACACACATGCATAATAAACATACCTTTCTCAGGCTCTGGATAATTCCCAGAGTTGGCTTCAGAAGTGGAATTTCTTTCTCAGGACATCTGAGTGAGGAGTTGATGTAAGACTCAAAAGCAGCAGCATAGTGGGCCAAGTCCTTCATGATGTTCCTCCGACATTCAAGCTGGCGAGACAAACAGGAAAAATTACCCATCAGTCATCTGTATCTGTATATGTCCATTGTAAAAAAATTATAAATCATTGATTGATGATATAATGGGTGAAATGCCCTCATTCTGATGTGTGGAATAGATTAACAAATGTAAAGCATTATTCAAATAACACAGATAATGGATTTATAGTTTGTAATCACAAACAGTATGTCTGATAGTCCTATAAAATAAAACAAAAACATTTAATAAGAAATAGTAACCAAAGCATACCTCACTGAAGGGTGAATTTCTTTGCATCATGCAACCTGAGCTCTGTGGGGTAAAAAAAAAAATTCAAACATGAGCAATTTGTTGGTTAAATTATATTTAAGTCGAGCATTTATGGACACTTGATTCATAGTTAGACAGAGTAAACGTTAGTGAAAACTAAGCTGAAATTATGAGGCTTGAGGCTGTTTTACATGAATATGTCCAAAAACAATTTTGTAAAAATATGCACAATATATGTGGATTTATATGTTCTTTATACATAAAGTAAATAATAAAGTTTAGCTCAAAGGTTCACTTTTTAAGAATGACTTCATAATTCAGAACGTATAGCACAGATAAATCAAATATCACCTGAGTGGGTGCGCAGGCCAGTACTGTGTCAGCTTTACTCTTCACCACTGCCCTATCAGAGGAGATGCCGTAGCACAAAACAGCCTGGAATACAAAATATTAATCATAAATAAACCACTGTACAGAGATGTCTGTGAGTAAAAAGACAGAAAGAAAAAAACACGAACAACACAGCATTACAATATTAACATGCGATGATGAATTGTACTCACGCTGTTGTTTTTGTTGAGGAGATCTTTGACATTCAGCAGGAGGCTGTTGAAGAGAGACGAGCAGTGTTCGCACTGATCTTCGCTCAGGGTGCACACCGGGAGTCCTGTGGATGTGCGCCAGCTCAAGGTCAGCAGCAGCACACAGCTGGCGAAGTCTGCATGGTAAAGAAAATAAACAGCATCAACACAAGCGTCTACACCGGTGCTCAACAATACAACAGCAGCCTACAGTATCTTATACATCAGCCTGTGTTTCGGGCTCGCTGACTTACAGAAATTAAAGATTGCCATCTTTCCGATCAGATAAGATATCTCCGGTCGAACGTGGTAACACTGTGTGGCTGCCTTCTTATCTCTGATGGATTTATAGGCCTATGCTCGGGGGATTCCCCAGGTATTGAGGAGACGAAAAAAAAAAAAAAAAAAAACATTACAAGGGCCTTTGTAGTTCCCTTTTTGATCTTCCAGCACACATTCAAGTCAAAACAAAAAGTGATGTGAAGGAAATATATTTTCATGTTTGTTTCTCTTGATAACTCCACATGGGTGCACTCTAACAATCGAAATCTTCTTTTCCCATTCGTGTAAATACACAATAGTTAAACATGACTGACTCGGGTTGGTGGGGATTTGCAAGAAGCAGCCGTGAGATGCAAACACCACCGACGTGAATGATAACTATATGATGATAAACATCTGGCTGACCACACTGTGTGTATGGGACCTTCAGTCAGCAGCTGGGCGGCTGTTCTCTGCAGAATACACCAAATAAAAATGGAAAACGTCACTAAAAGAGATTCCATGCCAGCAGGTTTTGCATTTACCTTTGAACGTTTAAACAAATAGACATATTGTGCATGTCAGTTTTTTTTTAATTTGAGCAGTAGTATAAGGATTACATCAGCGTGGTGATACAGTGGAAACTTTGCTGTTTTACTTTACGCAACAGCCCCATGTGAGGACATAATGACCACAAAGATGGTTAGAGCAGTCATTCCTACTTTCTCTAATGAGAATCACTGAAGATAAATGAATGAGAATTAAATTAAGCTACTCCCGGGGTTGTGACGGTAAGTGAAAAGAGCGGGCAAACCCAGCAGGCTGCGCTGCGTTATGGGAACATGCCTTACTCACTGGCGGTGTTTAATGCCGCACCTTTGACACAGACACTTGTCCGATCTCCACACTGTTTGACCCACGGAGTCAAGTCCTGTCAATCTGGTCACGTCAATGGAGAAGAAGGTTCGTTCGGGGTTTCCCTCTGCCTCGCACGGGTGGGCGGTGGATTAATAACTGATCTTTTCTCACGCAAAGATACTCAAGAAAATGAGCAAAAAGTCCTGGAGAACAGTGCAGTTCTTAGTCTCGTTCGTACATTATTCTTCTGTTCCACAACATTTCAGAGGGAAACGTTGTACTTTTCCACAGCATTTATTTGACAACTCCTTTCCTCATAGAGATTTTACATATAAAATATAAAATCATCCTTTAAAATGATGCAATATTATAGATTAAAGTGCTCAGCATTATGTAAAATAGTTTAAAGTAGCTCCAGCTCAACTAGCTACAGTATCAAAATGCTGCTCAATAGATCAGTGATGATAAAGAAAATAATGATGTAATAATACAGAACTCAGAAAAGAGCCACTCTGCATAATGAGCACTATTTTTATATCTACAGTATTCTGTTTATATCACTTCTGACTATTTCCTTAAGTACGATTTTGAATGCAGGACTTTTACTTTTTACATTGCTTAAATGAAGGACCTGAATACTGGTACTTATCCATGTAAACACATAAATGCTATTTCAAATTGATTTTGAGAGCTAATCTTTGCATATCTTGTTTGTTGATATTACAATTCTTTGTTAAATCTATGCGGAGCTAAGCTATATACAGCAACTGCCATAACTCTTTAAATAGATGCTGTTCATAAATATTTCAAAGAAAAAGATATGCTTATGCTTGTTTGTTGTAGTTTGCAAAATGCTGGGTAAAATATATGAAAACGTATATAATAAGGTCAAGAATTGTCTTTCAGTATCATGGACAAAAAGTCCTTAAAATACAAATGTAAATTTAACCATCTACACTTCCATGACAAATTAATTTGCTGAGGAAGATTGTGTCATATGATCAAAAGCTCCAAAACAGCTACTAATGGCAATGCACCGGGTTTTTTTTCAGCTGGTCAATCTGTCAAAGGTTTGTTGAACAATATCTGAGAAGTGCACACGACTCAAAAAGAGAATGTGAAATTCTCATCGGCACATGAATTATGACTTCATCCTCTCCTTACAGCCTCATTCTTAGGACCTGTGTGTGTTTGAAAAGACGTGCACTCTGTGAAACTTCAGTGGTCAGTGAGTGGCTGACAGGAGTTTTCTGGCCTTTCTCTGGCTTTACCGCCAGGCTATTAGAGTGAAACCACTGAATCACTTTTTAAACACACTATATAATCATAGAGATAACCCACCAGGTGGAGGGGGGGGGACTTCCTCAAAGACATTTGTACATGAAAAATAACACTGTATTCATTACTAAACCCTCTAGTCATTTAGAGTCATGTCTGTACATTTATACCTTGGCCATTCACTATTTCCACAAGTCCACAATTGTAATTTTTTATATGAAAGAAAAATTCCTAATTGTGACTTTAAAGGGGTTCTCCAAATTAATGCAGAGTCCCTTTAAGAGCAGTAAACCAACCACTGATGAGAGAATGAGAGACAGTGTCGAGATGACGTAAGACAGAAACACAGAGGGTGTTGAGTCATACTACGAGTACTGTGGTTAAAAATTGTCACTGCAGATCAATGTTTACACTTACTATGTTCATTAGAAAGAGGAATTTGAAAGAGCTTTGAAGAGTTTCATCCCGCTGATTTGCAGCAACACAAATCCAACATACTTGCACAACAAACCAACATATATGAAACAAAGTTTATTCTTTATTTTACATATCTGTACATAAACATTTCTTCCCTCAAATAAAGTTTCTGATTACAATAGGATGAAAACGATATTAACACACTTATTCATTTAAAATGACTCGTGTCAGAAAATCAACATTCACAAAATGTTGAAGAGCAATTAGAGTGAACGTATTACCAAAAGCTACGACTCCACTACAAGGCAGGCATGTTTCCTTTACACTCTTTTAGCACCTTCAAATAAACATTTCTCAGTTGAAAACTACCATTTGTGCAGAATAAAAACAGGTCGACTTTGAAATACTTTCCATACTGTCCAACTTAAAATGGTCTGAAGAAGTTAGTTTCCATCTGTTTTTTTTTATACAATGTTGTTTCTTTTTTCTCATGACTGACTTTCTACTAAATTTTTCACTATTATTTTATTTTTTTCCCACAATTTTTGCATTTGACAGTTATAATTTAGTGGCGAATGTAGAAAGTTAAAAAGAAACAATTGCAAAGCAAGGCCGATCACTGCACAGGAAGCTGGGGACAGAATCCATGACAACACACAATCAGTTCCCTCTTCTCCCAGGAAGCAGGAAGTGCTCCTCCGTCCTTAGCACTGGGAGAAAACCACAGAAGCAAATGAAAGAGGGTGTCCTTCTTCTGTGCTGCTGCTACCACTGGAGTCAGTTAGACAGGAAGGTAGACATGGGGAGACGGGGGAAGCGGTGAGGAGCAAAATACTTGGGACAAGCGGGGCAGGATTTGGATCGACACGGGGCAGAGGTGGAATGGCTGAAGGGGAAACGTCTGGTTTGGAGCGGGAGCTTAGCTTGGCAGAGGGGAGAAGGGTGGAGAAGGGACAGGCATCTTATTTGGATAGGGTCCTCTCAGCCAAATGTTTCTGCTGGCTCTCAGCATGCCTGGAAAAGAGAGAAAAGGAAAATACAGTCACTTAATGCAGTGTTTCTCAAATGGGGGCACTTAAAACTGTGTAATTTCTAAAATATAGTTCAGTAAAAATGGAAATGGAAGTTCGATAAACCACGTTATATTAAACACACCTATTTTTAATGCAATCGCTATCCTGCAGTAAAAATAGTTTGATGAGTGCAGTTTCCTCCCTGCCACAGACAATGGCAACGCTCCTCAGTGACGCTCATGTTTCTCACTAAGTCTTAGTGTTACTGCATGATGACAAAAAATTGGTTTTCCATGAATTTAGTAATACATTTGACATGAAGCATGTGTGTTGTTCTGAGATACTGGGCACAGCACTGTATTGTATGTTTTTAAAGTGTTTTTAATTTCTAGCGCTGGTCTGGTAAAATATTTTACTGGGGGTATATTAATGAAAAAGGTTTGAGATTCACTGACCTATAGGGTAAGTCTGGTAATAGATCAGGATATTTTTCTTACTGTCAACAAATCCCAAACAAAAAAAACCCCCAACACTGAACTGACCCTACTAACAAGTATTGTGTATGTAGCTGAAGCTTAGTGTGACTTATTCCATTGTGACCTTTATTCTTTATGATTAAACAAAACACACAAGTTAGCCATTCTGTTGTATTGGGTCACATGTTCCTTTATTACCATGAACCTATATACTTTATTTTGACTCAGTCTCAATCACAATGTCCTGCTGCTCTGAGTGTTCATTTGTGGACTAAATCTGCGGCTGAAAATAGTCCCTGACAACAGCAGTGTTTACTCCAGTTTGCTTGCTAAAGGGGAACTCCACTGATTATTGTTGATTTTACACACCAAAGTCTGTTTACAGATCTAGAGGAGTACTGCTGAATATGTGAGAAAAGTTGTACAAAGCTTTTTGTGTCTCCTGATCTGAAATTTCCTCATGTGATGTGTGATGCTAGTTTACTGGACCTCTGTAGCCCGCTCCTCATCTCTCAGCTCAGGGCTACATAAGCTGCTACTAGCATAGCACACCTGAATCTCTGAATGTTGGCGGTCGAGTTGCATTTTGGGTAATGTAGGTGTAAGGTTTTGACAAGAAAGAAAAATGTGTGGAATAAAAAAAAAAAGACTGTTTCTGTTTCTGCTGCATCAGTGTTTCATGCTTTTTCTTTGAACTGCAGCTAAATCGGTGGCGTACTCTTTTAAAAACTATGGTGTCCAGCTCTTTTAGGAGATCTTTTTAAATAAATCAAAATTTATATTTGGCAATTTTTTCTAAATTTTTGCATCTTCAGTAAGAACAAACAGAGCCACAGTCAAGATAGGAAAGTCAGGAATTGCTGTAGTTGGTCTTTTATGAGATTTGCTGACAATAACAAAAAAAGAGACTACTTCCTTTCCTATTTTTTTAATTTAAATTAAGGTTTTTTAATACAACATAATGATAAATGCTGTGAATCAGTTCCTCATTAAGCGCTTCATCACCTGGTGAGGTCCTCTATGTCA